ACACGCATTAACAGGAGGCTATCCACGTCCTCCCAGTAGCTTGAGCCTGTATAGGAGTAGTTCCTGGAGCCGAGTAGCCGCCTGGAGATCCTCCTTCCTTGTACGGCTGTCAGTGACTGACCTTATGCGACACCTTAATTTCTACGGCCCAATCCGTCCGGTGACTAAGACACTTGTAATTATGCTGTACCAGAGAGATGGGACGAAGCGAGAGGGTTGAATATCGCCTATATCTGAGTGATGGCGCAATCTTGAGTTTCGGTGGTGATCGGCCAGGACGGCATGGAGGTGGCCGAAAATCACAACTGGCGAGATCGCCTCTCCTTTTTTTCTCGTTTCACCTCGTAATTACAAGTATCGTTGCTAAGAATAAACACTCGCCATTTTGTTCCCGTCTCTTCGAACGATGAGAGGATACCAGACAATCCTCGTATAAGAGCCTCTGCTTCGTCATCAAGCCCGTATTTGGATAAAACGGCACCAGCCGCAGATGCTCCCGTATATCTGCGTGTGTATACGCATGCGCTTGTCGGAAGTTCGGCCCCTCTGGCTCCGGTGGATTACCAAAAGGCCCTGGGATGTGGGAGACCTCTAGTGTAGAGAGGGGGGGGGGGGGGGAGAGGCTCCATTCTGGCCCCAGTGAATAGTAGTGTAGACGCGGAGCTAGAATAACCCGAAGCAACAATGAAGCAAAAGCACACAGAAACCCAGATCAAAGGGCCAAAAACCCAAACGCAATCAAAGTTTCTGCACGGCCCCCCCTTCATCGGCAGCTACGGCACTTGGTGCCCTGGAGAAGCGACCCTTAGCGCTTGGTGAAGGATGAGGCCAGATAGCCGCAACAAAGCCGCAATATCCGCGGAGTTACTCTGCCAGCCGCTGTAAAGTGTTAGCAGCGCATTGTACATATTGCTTGGCAGCATCGCCGAGAAATCCAGCGTGGGATGCGCAATCTATTGTCTTTCGACTTTGATCAATCTGTTATGCGCTCGCCTTGGCTAGATTGCTTTTTCGCGCAAACAGTCACATGGACCCTTGAAAAGGGTAATAATGGAATAACGCCATTCTTTATCTTTACTTTACCTTGTTACTTTATTTTATGGATGTTTTACTATGCCATAGTTTATTTCACTTTAACCTCAAAACTGAGATTAAGCATGGCGGCGTGCTACCCCAAGAAAACTAGCACTAGGTAGGGAAAAGCAATTTAATGCGGTGCAACTGGATCTGCCATCGCCCGTACAAGTTAAATGGCAACCCGGCCGTCAAGCCTCGACAACGCGTAAACCTCTCAGCCATGGGCCAAGAGAAATAGAAACAAATGTCGTGCCGATTTACCCAGAAATATCGGCTCCTGGCACGGATTCTTGTTCTATTATAGGGGCTGTTAGGGGAGGCGCAGAACAATGTACACTGGACCTAAAGAAAAAAACTTACACAAACCTCACGCCCTCCTGAAGCACACAAAAACCAACAAGACACTCACCAGCGGGCAAAACGGCACCGGGGAGAAAAGAGAATCGAAGGGGAATTAAGGGAAAAAGAGAAGAAAAGAAAAGGAGAGGGGGGAGGGGGGTGTGCGCAGCAAGAATTGGAAAGGAACATGGACGATTCCTAAAAAGCTGCTAAACGGGCAAACGAGCAGGGCATCCATGTCGCGAATTTGGCGCTATGCAGTCAGTGGCGGCAGGCTAAGCCTTTTGGTCAGCGAGTATTGAAAATAAGCTTAGGAGGAATTCTATGACCTTATTATACCGCCAGTCCCGTAGCGGCGACGGCGCTGATTATGCACGAGGCCACGGCGTGTTGGTGGTGTTGCACTGTGGGTGACTCCATTTTCGTTTCTTTTTTCTTCGCAGTGACAAAGAATGAGGAATAATATGCGGCGATGATGAAGAGCCGATAGCAAAGGCGAGTTGGCTTGTCTACGGCTCTCGGGCTCGGAACTCTTTAGCTCTGCGCTTCTTGACATCATCTTCACTTCTCTTTTTGCTGGCCAAATGACCGGTTCTGACACGCCCGATGCCGTCCATCCCGTCAGAGGCTTGCTGGTATTAATCATGCCGTGCGCTCTGGTCTATCGCCCTCTCCCGGCCCGGCGGCAGAAATTGAGACCGAAGAGGGACGTGTCAAGCCAAATAAGAAGATACTACAGTGAGGTAATCTTGCAAAATCTGGGTTATTCCCATCTCCGAACGTGAAAAGAATGGGGAGGGGGGTGGTTCGCCCACCAAACAAGGTAAACACGAGTCATCATCTTTTTCCTGGCAACCCCGGCACCGAACAACCGGACTTTTTGAGGAGCTCTTCTTTTTTAGGGTTGCCAAAGTCGCTGTTTTATTCAGTCGCCTTGGCGCGCAGCTGATGGAATCCCGTGCTTTATTCCCGGCCGTCTAGCCAAGCACTTGTGACAAAGTACCAGCATATAGTCTACCTAGTCTGTCTTTCTGTATATACACCCCACAGCGGCCGTTGTCGCTTTGGGGGTTGCCAATTGCCGTCTTTTCCATGGAGGGCCAGGCTATTGATGGCCAGGCCGCGCAGAGTTGCCTTGAAGACGGTTTTGCTTGAACGTATTTGGAAAGAGGACAAGGAATGGCACGGTATGAGTGTGATATGAGATTGATGAGATGAGATGAGATTGAAGATGCCAATGCCATCTCTCTTCAGCCCTTTCTACTTGGATTTTACCCGTTTTCCCTTTTCCTTTCTTTGTTCTGTGCAATAAGCTTTGTTACTAAGTAGTATTTTTGCCTCGCTCTTCCGCCATGACTAGGGACCCGAAAAAGTATCCTTCTTTTAAAGACACAGCACGCGCGGCCTTTTCCTTATGTCTTGCAAGTAAGTAAGTACCTTGTCAGTGGCTTGATAACGTATCCCCTCTCCCAGACCTTGTGAAACTGGGCGAATGAGCCGGAGGATTCGTCCAGGCCGGCAAAGAAGCTGTTGCGAGATAGAAGAACTGGAGAACGAAGCCGATATCCGTCCGCCACACGTATTGAGCCTACAGGGCAAGACGGCGTTCGGCACGCAAGCCTGGAGGCTAACACGGCAAGTGAGAAGCCGTTTTTTCTTCTATTGTACCATGGATGATTACTACGGGCATTTTGTTGCGTCTTTTTGTGTGGCGTGCAACGATTGTGTTGTATGTACTTTGTACTTTGAGGTGCTTGCGAATATCGCTGATATGCAACATGAAGCAAAAGGACACGAGTACAGGTGCCCGCGGATGGATGAATCCCAACAAGGACGAGCAGACGATATTCGGCCTTCTCCTTCTGCCTTCTGCTTTTCACTGATCCAAGGCCAAAGGACTAGAGAGAGTAAAAGAAGGGAAACATGCATGTTTAAATATAGACGTCTTTGTTGCGCAGCGCCCAGTCTTGCACGTCAAGATAGAGTACAAGTGGCTTTAACACACTCTAATTCTCGCTTCTTTGACAGTCCAAGCTTTTCTACAGCGTGGCTAATAGGCACTCCAGTCTCAGCGCTCCTGCATCGCCAAAACAGCCACCCAAAGCACCAGCTGCTCCCAGAATATACCGCGCAGCAGGCAAAAGAAGCGCCGAATCTCACCAAGATTCCCAGCCCAGCGGCCTGAGACCTGCCCGCTACCTGCACGCCCCCCAGACGCCCCCCCCCCAAGTCTTGGTACCCCACAACGTCCCTGCATCTACGAGCCGATTTATCCATCCATGACCACACCCTGCACGCCTGGCTGGCCCAACCTTAATTCTCCCTCTCTCCTCCATCTTTTTTTGTCCTCTTCTTCTCTTTTTTTACCTTTTGAGGCTTGTAGCTGCTAGTTTTAACCTTGTTCCGTGTGCAGACTCATCCGTTTCCCCCGAACTGCGTGACGACAAAGGCGTAGCAGACGACGCGGCTCCTTTCAAAAGAACAACTATATCTCACGGCGCTTTCTTCTTTCACTCTTCCACCTCACTTTGTTGGCCCTTCCGTCGTCTTTATATATATATATATATATATATCCCTACGTCTATATATACACACACTCCATTGTTCTAGGTGAGCCTCCGATCTTTTCTTTGTCCCTCCAGCTCCTGCCTTTTCCTGGCCTCTTTTGCGACGACATCCGCGTGCCTCCACGGCAAAACTTGTGGTTTTGTTTCCCGAGGCTGCCTGCATGGATCTAGTGTTCCCATACTGAGGCATTGGCTGTACTCCCTTTGTGCTTTCCGCCTCAGGCTCTTTGCCCTGAATGGGCTGTATGACAGGGGAAAGGTGAGAAAGGAACAACGAGCAGGATAAAATAAAGAGAGCAACAAGAGGATTCGGGAGAGCTCGGTCTGCGATTTCAGGGCCCATGGAATGTGTGAGAATGCGGTTCTGTGCTCGGCGTAACCAGCACGAGCCGGGAGCAGCCAATGGCCAGTTACGACGTCCATGGTGACCGCAAACGCATCCATCCTTTTGTCGTGGCAAGTGCTGCGTCGGCACCGCCGTCAAATCAGACAAGAAGGGGCCAGAATGGGGGAATTTACTGGATCGAGTCAAGGCCTTGGCTATTTCTCTGCTCTGCGCTTCAGTGTGCTACTTTGTTTAGCGGGTCTGCCGAGTCTCTCCCATTCTGAACCAAGGAGCACATATGATGCAGGCGAGCCCTCTTGAATCCGTGGATCAGCATCGGCCGTTCTCTCTCATCACAGATCCTTTTCCTTGGGGCCTGTTAACACTTGCATTCTTTCATTGTTGATGACAACCTTCATCTACCAAAGTCCCCGGGTGTAATAAACTGACATCCATATTCGTAGTGCCATTGACAAACAAACAAGTCTACAACTCAACTCTATCGGTGACGCATCTACTGTCTTCACTTGGCAGTAGTTGACAGACTTAACCGGCCTAAGAGAAAACACTCTAGACTCGTGCGTCTGAGTGATTCGGCCCTCTTGTTACTACTCATCAGGGGAGGAATTGTCCGTTCAATCGGACAACCAGTCTATCACATGTACAAAACGGACTCAATAGCTTCGGAGAAGATGGAGACATACCACGGATATGTACGTACTCCAGCTGATGCCATCAAGCTGTTCGAGGCTTGCCGGCTAGGTCTTCTACCTCGCGTGCAACGACGACTCTCAGAAAAGGAAAGACAGTCCATCAGATCCGGCTCGGTCTTTGTATGGGATGAGCGAGAAGCTGGCATGAGGCGCTGGACCGATGGCAAATCATGGAGCGCCAGCAGAGTATCCGGCAGCTTTTTGACGTACCGCGAAATGGAAGGCAAGCGAGGTGGCGGTTTCGGCGGAGGGAGACGAGGCAACGGCAAGACTCCCGAATCTGGTCGCGGTAGTGACGAAGATCACGACGATGGCGAACCTGAAGGATACCGATACAAGGCCGATGGTCTTATGAAGCAGTCTTTTAGCATTACGACCTCGACTGGCCAGCATTTGCACTTGATATCTTACTACTCCCGACCGCAGCCTGGACAGCCAGAACTGCCGCAACCGACCACCGACCCGACTCTGCGAGGGATTGTACCTGTCAAGGGCATGTATCCCGAGTCGAGCATGGGCGAGACAAACCAGACACCGGCACTTACGAGAGCCCCAATGCAGCAGCCGTACATGATTGCTCCTCAGCATCACCACGCTCACCCAGGACACCAGCCTTACGCCCCCCATTATGCGCAGCCAGGCTACGGGTGGCCTCCATCGCCAGTTGCTACGCCTCCCTACGGACATTACGCTCCCGCGCCTTATCCTCCTGCTGGCCACCACCTCCCTCCGCCTTACGCCTCGCCAGCCCCTCCGCCAGCGCACCATGGCTATATCACGGCAGCTCCGCCGCCATCACATCACTACGCACACGTCCCGCCACCACCTCACAGTTACGAGCGCACTTCATTGCCTCCTCTGCAGAATCCCCCGAAGCCACCCTCTGGGCCTTTGTACCACAGTCAGCCATACTCACAGGGACCCACCCCGCCGCGAATTCACGACTCTCCTCACCAACAAACGCTGCAAGCCGCTGCCCAAGCTGCCATTGGTGACTCCCGGACATTGGGTGACAAGAAGCCGCAGGGCCCTCTCCCGGCCCTGGGCCCGATTGCCAACGGATCTGGAGCTCCTCAGCATAACGGTCTGCACACTCCTCCAAACCGGACAATGAGCGCCAGTCCGCCCCAGAGCTCTCACTTGGAGACCCACAGTGCTGGCGGCAATAAGGCGAGCTTGTCCGCTCTGTTACATCCTACTCCGGCCCCAAATGCTGAATCTGGTGCCAATGGCAGCGCCCATAGCAGCCCAAGAACTGGCAACGTCGCTCTCGCAGAAAAGGGTGGCGCGAGCGAAGATGCCCGAGCACTGAGAATGCTTGATCGAAAGTTCTGCATCTAGATTGATGTGGATCTGAACCAATCTATTTTTCTTTCTTTTCTCTCTTGCCCCTTTCTTCCTCTTTCTTCATCAAAGAAAAACCCAACATTTCTTTATCAATGAAGAATTCAACAAAAAAAACACCAAAAAAATAACTGCTTTTCGTCTCTATACTTATTTTCTTTCTTTTTCATTCGTATAGAGATACTAGGGCTTTGGGAGTCACGATTCTATTGTTTATATCTGATGCATTGTTCTGGCGTTTTAAGGAGGAGCTAGCGATATGTCTATCTAGACTTTGGCTTGGCTGGATTTCTGGACCGGCGGGAAACTGGGAAATGGCCACAGCGGGGAAATCTCTTTCGGCCCGCTGAGTGGATGAAGGTTCTTTTGAGTTTACATGGAAACACTTGGGATGAGTTCAGGAGTCTTGTTCCTTTTGAGTACTGTATATAACGATAGCCGATTACGAAGAGAGCTATTTTACTATTTCGATTGAGTTTCCCTATCTAAAGTGGCTGTGATTGCGTGAAGTGACGTGACAAATCGACAGACATGAGTCACATATTGTAGTTGAAGGAAGTCAGCCTTTTGCCTCATGCATCTTTTCATCTTTGGCCCCTGCTCAGAGTTAATTTACAGTTGTTGTATCAAGTTTGGAATAATTTTCCACACACGTATACATGGCTTTGAAAGCCATGTTACTGATACGGGGTCTTGTCATATTTACAAATTTCGGTCCTTTGTTTCATGCTTCTCTCGTCATTAGTCTCCATCAGTATGCGCCACCATTCTAGTATTACAAGATTTTCTCTCACACATAGCTGTCCTCTTGTCTCTATGCAATATGATTGTTAGCACTACTTCTGCAAAAAGAAAGTGCACAAAAGTTTAAGTCATCACTCCCATGTCATTGTCGTTGTAAATGACATATAAGTATTACAGTGCATACGACTTATAAGCCAAAAAAAAAAAAAAAAAAAGCCATGGAGTTGGAATCAAACAGGTAACAGGTATACTACTTCGGTAGCATAATCTGTGGGGACTTTTTATTTGTTATCGAAAAATATAAAGGCCGCGTCATCTTCTATTTTGCGATTATTTGATACCATCCGTATTCGGCCAAAGCCGTGTGAGCTCGCGGCAAAGAAATGCCGGGGAGAGGGGGAAGAAAATGGACGGGGGTTTTTAACAAGTTAGGGAATGGGAGAGGGGGGTGGGTGTTTTAATTTGCACGGGGGGGACGAGGATTCATGAAGACAGATAGGTTAAATAGTCTATGCGATAGTTTGCGGAGAATTAAGAAGAGGGAAATTGAGATTGAGGGGGGAAGCGCATTTCGGGCCGCGTTTATGTGGGTTAATACTAACGCTGGGGGAAAATGACTGCTTGTAGTTTATGCATGCGAGTGGTGGCTTGATACTATGCAGTACAGACAGCAACCAAGTAGGTAAGCTCTTCGTAAATTTGATAAGCTTATGATGGTGAAACAAGAGGCTTTTTTATTGTTGGGTTGCATTTCGCGGCGACTTTCGTGATATATCAAATTTCAAATTGAGGACCTCTGGCGCAAATGTGCGGATCAGATCACTAACTTTACTTATTTTAGAATAGGTAGATGTAGTTTCTCTTTCCTGAGAAACTGCATACATATGCGTGATATATGCTTTAGCATATTGCCATTCTGGAGCTCTCGCGTTCTCTCTCCTTTTGCATTAAAGGCTACATGTAGCTTTTGGCTGCATTTGACTACTATTGCGCAAAGCGGATCCTGGCTCCGAAAAAATAGAGATTTCGAAAGATAAAGGCTAACTCTAATTAAAGACCCGTGGGGAAGGTTTCTAGTATAAAGTCTCCCCCTTCCTTGTTTTATTTTAACTGTAATTTACACCTTTTCTCCAGACACGGAAGGTTTGGCGGCGCCGTGGCTTAACTCTGGGGAGGGCTTATGCAAGTAGATTTAGCATAAAAAGCTTAAGTCAAGTAAGCTCCTACACGAGGCACGCCACAATCAACTCGCTTGAGAAGATTAGAAAGGATCAAAGATCTTTCTTTGAAGGAAGCAATTCTACGGAAAGAGACGTTACACCATGATATCTTATAATGAGAAAAAATAAAGAAGATTTAAGGAAATGTAAAAAAAATTAAACTCCCTCAGTTTCGGGATGTATAGGAAAAGCCCAATGCGGGGGTCGAACCCGCAACCTTGAGATTACAGAACGTGTGTCTTAAGAGTCTCACGCTCTACCGATTGAGCTAACCGGGCAATCACGTTATTGTTGACCAATCACGTGTCCCAGTTAAGCCGAGGGAGCTCGTTGTTCGGGTTGGCCTTAATTGTCTATATAACTCTTACGCTACAGTATTCCTAGCCATTTACATGCAGATACCTGCAATCTCCTTGCTTCTTTATCTCTTCTTTCTTTCTATAATTAACTAGACGCGCTGTGCAATGGCTAAAAAGCCGAAACTTGCAAAAATTAGGTCGGGGTTGAAGAAATAAGCCTACATCGGATAGGTCAAGATCTTTGACTGTCCAACAGATACAACGTATATTCATCCATGCTTATGCTTGAGCTACTACCTAGCTTAGTCTACCCTGTCTCTAAAAGCTCATCGATAGCTTCGTCATAAGCTATCGTAACACCATGACTTTGATTCCAGCTGTCTCAGAAGTTCTCATGGTGAGCTCTTGCTGTTTCCTCCAACATCTTAAACTGAGTCTTGAGACCAAGAGGCAAACTTTCTCGAAAGCCTTCGGACAAGAAGCATTGTGCGCCATGGTTACCTTCTGAGGGTGGTCATATCAGTCATGGCATCCGTATCCTTGAACTCCCTTGTCAGATAACGGTTGGTGACTGGCAGAAGCCTCTGCACAAAATTTGCTTGAGCTCCTTGGTGGATCAAAGGATGAAATTCTAGATTATGTGAGCGGGATCCAGAAATCTAATTCATTTGGTGTTCGTACCTTGATTCAAGAAAGCTTTGATGTAGGATTGTGTTAGCTTTCTAGCCTTGGGCTCTTGATTTGTCGTCATCTAAACGAAAAACAATCTTCCCAAACAAAACTTTTCTGTGAGTTGGATCGGTATACCGACAGTCGATGGAATGTCAAGGCTTGGGTCTTCGTAGCAGACTAGCTTGCCGCCCAAAACCTTTGCCTCCCAGTGGAAGCCGGACTCTCCCCGAAGCTTGCTCCAAATAGTGTTTGGCATGAATTTGGGTCGTCGAAAATGGCCTTTCACTTCATTGTCAGTTTGTGGTGGGATCAGTTGCGGCGTTGTTGCCAGCTGGCAACCACTCGCGGCTATATGTGCCATGTATGTCACCTGAAAGCCAGCTCTTATACCATGTTCTCAGCCACTTCCACTTCATCATCAACTCTTGCTGCTTCGTGCCATTTTTGTAGGATACTTCCACGGTCTAATTTTAATTTTAGAGTGCGAGTGTTAACTTGTATTGGCATGCTTAGAGCGCGGTCAGCGGAAGACACCCATAGGTCATCATATGGAGACAGGCATGATCCAAGACAATGATAAATGCTGATATTTAAATTGGTTTCGTTATCGCTTATTCCTCGATCGAGTGAAATGCGGTACTCTGTGCTGCATAATAGACACGAATCCTGCTTCGTATCAAATTCGATCTCTTTTCCATCTTCTTGAAGCCAAATCCCTGATTGCTGAATGCTTAGACCATTGTGCGAGCCCTTTGGAAGACTCTCATGGCTAAAGTAGCAAGATGGGAAGGCTGAGCAGGTGAGATGGCGGCAGATTGGTATTGACATACTTTCTATGACTTTATTAAGGCGCTCTTCGGATACTAGGGGTCCGGTTATTGTAAAAAATCTGGCAACATAGAGCTTGTTATCGATGATTTTTGGAATAGATCGAAAGAAAAATCTCCAGGTGTTTTTCTTTATTTGTAATGCTTCGAAATAGTCTCCGGGAAGCTGAGCTTTAGTATCGGGGATGCCTCTCCAGATGAAAGAGTGCTATGCGCTTTCGTCTCCGGGGAGCTTAATGCAGTTTAACTCAAGGATATTCTCACATGACTCAGATCGTTCTAGACTCTTGAGAGAGATACCATGGGAGAACCCATGAAAATGCCTACGCATGACCAAATTTGCTTCCATAAAGCAAATATTGTAATTGCGCATCAAGTGGTAGAAGTGTTCTGGGAGGGAGACGTGATCGACACCGAATGAATGGGGCAACTAGTGTAAATGAGGGAAAATATTGGGGGTCGCCCAATGTGCCTGGCTTGCCCAACTAAGATTGGGATCAAACAGACGCAGCTTGTAGCAACAGTAGCAAAAACACACACAGGGAATATCCTTTTGCAACGTTGAAAGAAACTCTATCAGCGCCCCCCCTTCGAGACGCGGGAGCGTGCTTCTATGAGTCAGTTTCGTAAAATATTTGCAGGTCAAAGCCAAAGAAAACTTCCATGGTAGAGACAGGTTGTTTATGATCTGCAGTAGGATTTCGGTTGGAAGCGCCAATATGGTCTGGCGAATGGCATTTTCTGGACTTGGGCGTCTCTTCTTCTTGGACGCCTTTGCCTCAATGAGGCGCTGGCTGCGTCGCTTGAGCATGGGGTGTTCGTCGTTTTGGTACTTTCTTTTTTTTTTTTGGTTATAGAAAGTGATTTGCTTCCAGGTTTTCCGATTCAAGATGCGTTTGATGGGAGGGGATTTGCTAAGGGCTAACAAATCGAGAACCCAATCTAGTTTGTGCGTGCAAAAGGTTACTTACATTTTCGGTTTGCATGTGATACGGGCTTCTTACAGTGGCGCTTTGTACCTTGTAAGTTTTGACGTAGATAGGTACGTAGCCGTTACGCACAATGTTCCTTTGCGCAACATGGCTAACAATCTTTGATGAGAAGATCTAGAGAGAACTCTTTACTCCAGGGCTGTGGCACGCCACAGTGGGCCATAGTTCCTCACAGGCTGCGGCCAAGTATCAGCGAGATCCCACTGGTTGCAGCGTCGACAACTCAGGCATTGGTTCCTTTAGCATGTAATTAAGTGGAAGATCTCTGGGCAGCCAGATGAATGCTGTCCCTTGGCCTAAGACCAGTGGTCTGAGGAGCCTGATGGATAGACTTTGTTTCCGCTTTTGGTAATGACCGAGAACCATGCTAGAGGTGGATAGTTTACTAAACAGAAAAGGACGAAAAAATAGCAGAAAATAACTTCCTTTTACTACACATCGTGCCAGCCAGCATACGGGTTTAATCATCGTCGAGACAAGCAGTTCTTCACAATGGAAGACGAGGCAGTCCGTATGAGCTGGCTTAGCGGCCGGCCCCAGCGCGTCTTCAACTTGCGCCCGCCTCCCGAGTTTTCAAGAAACTATTGCTCGTATGGGGCGCAATGGAGCGTCATGGACGATCAAATCTTGTTGACATTCGAAGAAGAAGCAGACGGTACGATCATTAAACACCCGTCTTCTATTTTCTTGGCCGACGTTCACGACATCTTGGGCAAAGCCGACGACGTCGTCGAGTTTAGAAAGATTGTCAAGCTGCCGTTCAACGCCACAAGGTCAAGGCTATTGAGCCACCGAGCGGGGTTTGTCACCGCAGAGTTTAGAAAAGAGTAAATGCTTACCAAGCCATGAATCTTTGAAAAGTCATGTTGCTAAACTTATATTCAGCGAAAAGAAGCTGCTATTGCGCACGCACGACTGGGATGGAAACACTACGAGAGAAACAACAGTAGACGTGGCCTCTATTGACGGGCAACTCGTCGTGAATGACTCATCTGTTGCCCTTTGCGTGGATGATGAACCAAAGAAAGAATGGTGCATCAGTGGTTGCCGCACATTGAGCCAGATAGCTATCTGGAATCTCGAATCAGGAGACATTACAAGGATGGTTATACCTCAAGACGAGCGCGCACCTCAGTGTGTAAGTTGAGCAACAAAACGAACCGCCTGTTCGTCACACTCCGCATACTGATTTACTAAAACTCCTTTAGCACAGTGGCAATTTTACGTTTGTCACGCCTTCGTGCATCGCTCTGGGTGGCCATCTTGATCCTGATCATGATAGGCCATACGCTCTATTAAGATCATTCTCAACCAATCCTTCGGAGAAGCAGGTTGGGCGGTTATTCCGACATGGCCAGAATTTTGAGTTTTCAAATGATAATGACGCCCTAGCAATATCTGGAAGTTCTGCTAGCAGTGATATCGTTGTTCATTTTCATCATAGTGGTGGTCGCTTCACAGTTGCAGACAAGGGTTTGCTCACAGGTGAAATTCCAGTAAGTAAAAACGGCCAACTTCTGATGAACTGAAGCTTAGAACAACGAATAGTCCGAGTCGCTCCCAACGCCCGGGTATTTCATTGATCCAGATTTATTCAAGGACCTCTGGCATGTCTTCATGGACAAGTTTAGCGCACGAACACTCCCAGGTGTGCTGTATGAAAGTCTCGCCAGTCTAGCTGGGAACAAGCTTCTAGCGCGAGAAGACCTCGAACACGAACATGACGAAGAACAATATTCCGGATTTCATAACGCTCGCTCATTTGGAGAGTTCCAAATCCTCTATCTCTATGATTTCGACCAGAATCGGTGCAACAAGTTGCGACAGCTTTCACCCGACTCTGAGCGCGCAGATCTTGCGGCGCGTCTAAAAGGGCGAAATCCAGACGCCAGAGTGACTGTAGTATCTCGCATGTCCTACATGGGTATTGAAGAAGCCATGGATATGGAAGAAGACACCTCGCCAGAGTGGGCAGAACACGTTCACCAGTTATGGGTGACTAATGAGGCGCGTGGAAAAGGAGAGGCCGAGTTCCCCGTCCTTGAATTCGACGACCCTCCGAAAGACCACAAAAGCCCTCGGATGTTGTACACCCGAACCATGCTTTGTCTTCCTGAAATAAGAGAAGGCCAAGAGTTTGCTTTGACAACTTCGGCGATAATAGAGCTCCCTACACATGAAGCGGACGGATATGTGCACTATTTTGGCGAAGAGTAGGCACTCTGTTCGCATTTAGCTTGATTTTTTTTTAGTTCGTCTATCAATAGCTATATATTAGCGTTAGTTGAAGAATTCACTATCATCGAATTTCCAAGACCCTATTTTCCGTATCACATGAACGTAGTGCATGCACCATATAAGAGAAGAATCTTGATAAAAAGCAGCTCTACTGCTGCTACTACTGCTACTACTGCTACTACTGCTACTACTGCTACTACTGCTACTACTGCTACTACTGCTACTACTGTATCAAGCCCTGCTACTGTTATATACTGCAGTCTTGATACCATCTACAGAAACCAATATAAAAAAGCCTGGGCCAAAAGCCCATCTGTGTAGGGCCTTAAAATGGACCTACTAAAGCTGTGACTTATTTGCGAGTCCATGCCTATTGATCTGCAGAGCAATGTTTACGGTTTCTTACAAGAGTTAGGTCCTTAAACAAGATAGACATTCAGTTATTCTCCATTTTCCTCAGCCGAGCATGTTGTGACTAATAATGGAATAGCATGTAAATCGATTGGATACATGCGCCCCTCTGCTCTATTTTAGCTGAGAAGCAAGTTGCGTTGCCTAAATGAGAAGGTTTCCCAGTCTCTGGGATAAAGTATCTCCGCCCCGCTATCTATATCCCTGTCACCGGCAATTCCTCGAATCGCATCAAATGTGTGTCGACGCGATCCGGCTATCAGATTGGCCAACATTTTCTATACAACACTGAGCGTCTGAAGCATCTCAAACAATTGCCCTCAGCTATCTACGACCGCTCCTGCTCCCCATACAACGAATCATGCTGCAGCAACTCGACTGAATCATTGCGATCGCAACGGGAGGTCCATCATGTTCACCTTCTGTCCGCTTCAGGGCGCTCTTTCGGAGTCGCTCGCGTCGCAGTCCCTCCTAGAGCTTGATGGAGGGGTCAAGGTGCTGGTCGATCTGGGATGGGACGAGTCTTTCAGCAGCGAGAAGCTCGAGGAGCTGGAGAAGTAGGTGTTGACGGTGGATTGCTAATGAATGGGAGCTGGAGCAGACAGAGCAAAACAGCTAACCTGAGCCTCTAGACAAGTGCCCACTCTCTCTCTCATTCTCCTGACCCATGCGACGGCATCGCATCTTGCTGCCTACGCCCATTGCTGCAAAAACATCGCTCTCTTCACACGCATCCCCGTCTACGCGACTCGGCCGGTCATCGATCTGGGACGAACGCTCACACAAGACCTCTACTCTTCTACGCCCGCAGCTGCCACGACGATTCGCCAAAGCTCGCTCTCGGAGACGACATACGCTTATTCGCAAACGGTGAACACTGCGCAGAATCTCCTTCTCCAATCCCCCACTCCCGAGGAGATTGCGCGATACTTCTCCCTCATCCAGCCACTTAAATACTCGCAACCCCATCAACCTCTATCTTCGCCCTTCTCTCCTCCGTTAAATGGACTCACAATTACCGCCTACAACTCTGGGCATACTCTTGGTGGCACAATCTGGCACATTCAGCATGGACTAGAATCCATCGTATATGCTGTGGATTGGAACCAGGCCCGCGAAAATGTATTTGCTGGAGCTGCGTGGCTTGGAGGTGCTGGGGGTGGAGGTGCCGAGGTTATCGAGCAGCTACGCAAGCCAACCGCATTGATTTGCAGTTCTCGCGGGGCTGATAGATATGCGCAGGCGGGCGGTCGTTCTAAGCGAGACGAGCATCTGATTGATATGATCAAGTCCTGTGTCAGTCGAGGTGGCACAGTTCTCATACCTGTAGATTCTAGTGCCAGAGTTTTGGAGATATCGTATCTTCTGGAAAATGCTTGGAGGACTGATGCGGCCAATAAAGATGGAGTGCTCAAGTTTTCAAAGCTATATCTAGCGGGTCGAAATGTGTCTAGTACCATGAGATATGCGCGGAGTATGCTGGAGTGGATGGACAACAACATTGTCCAAGAATTCGAAGCTTTTGCAGAGGGCCAGAGGAAAACCAACGGGGGTAGCGAGAAAAAAGAGGGAGCACCATTCGATTTCAAGTACCTGCGCCTATTAGAACGGAAAGCCCAGATCGCAAAGCTTTTAAGCCAGAGCATCGAAAATGGGGAAAGACAGGGACGTGTGATCCTAGCCAGTGATGTCAGTATGGACTGGGGCTTCTCCAAGGATCTGGTCAAAGGCCTGGCAAAAGACACTCGCAACCTAGTCATTTTAACGGAGCGGCCTGGATTGGCCAATACCGATGCTCCCTCCATATCGAGAACGATGTGGGAATGGTGGAAAGAGAGGAGAGATGGCATTTCTACAGAGCATGCCGGCAGCGGAGACAGCCTAGAGACGATCTATAGCGGTGGACGTGAGCTGGAGGTTCGTGAAGCTCGCCGCGAACCTCTGGAAGGGGACGAACTTGCCATCTATCAACAGTGGTTGGCTACCCAGAGACAGTTGCAGGCAACTCAGCAAGCCGGTGGAGCAGGTGCGCTGGAAGCATCTGCTGATGTTGTGGACGATGCATCATCTGAATCATCATCCGACTCTGAAGAAGAGGGTGAACAGCAGGGTAAAGCACTCAATGTTTCTGCCACAATGGGTCAGGCCGGCCGCAAGAATGTAGTCCTCAAAGACGAAGATCTGGGCATTAATATCCTAATCAAGAAGAAAACGGTGTTCGACTTTGATACACGAGGTAAAAGGGGTAGAGAGCGATCGTTCCCCATGGCAATTAGACGGAAGAGACACGATGACTTTGGCGAACTGATTCGCCCGGAAGATTATCTAAGAGCTGAAGAGAAGGAAGACGACGCAGTGGACGGTGCTCAAATTGCTGCAGAAGACGAGAAGCTTGGCAAAAAGCGCAAGTGGGATGATGTCGTCAAACAGGTGGCTGGTGCCAACAAGCGGCCAAGCACGAACAGAACAGCCACAGCAGACGATACGGAGGCCATGGACCTGGCAGATGGAGCTGTCGCGGACGAATTAGACATTGTTAAAGACACTGAGCCAGAGGAGCCTACAGGACCATGCAAATTAGTATACAGCACAGAATCAGTGGCAGTCAACTTGCGGATCGCATTTATAGACTTTAGCGGATTGCACGACAAACGAAGCCTCAACATGTTGATACCCCTTATCCAGCCAAGGAAGCTGATTCTTGTGGGAGGCACTCAGGAAGAGACCATGGCTCTGGCGACAGACTGTCGGACTGCGCTGGCGTCTGATGGAGACCGCTCCGTCGATGTGTTCACGCCTGAGATAGGCACATGGGTGGACGCCAGCATGGATACAAACGCCTGGGTCGTAAAGCTGGCAGATCCTCTGGTCAAGAAGCTTAAGTGGCAGAATGTTCGGGGCCTGGGCATCGTCACCATCACAGGCCAGCTGCTTGCCTCAGCCCTGGCTCAAGAAGCAGAAGGCCAAACGCAAGAAGACGCAGCAAATAAGAGGCAAAAGACCGAGTCCACAGCCGTGGCACTCACCAACGCAGCAGACACGGCTACTATGCCCACTCTGGACGTCCTTCCTGCAAACCTCATCTCGGCTGCCCGTTCGGTCGCCCAGTCTCTTCACGTTGGCGACCTGCGACTTGCTGATCTACGCCGTGCAATGCAAAGCGCAGGCCACTCAGCCGAGTTCCGCGGCGAGGGTACTCTTGTGGTGGACGGCTCGGTGGCAGTACGTAAGACGGCTGAAGGTCGTATCGACGTTGAGAGCGTGGGCCTTCCTCTCGGAGGGAAGAGAAGCACACTGTATGAAGTCAAGAGAGCGATCTACGATAATCTGGCGGTCGTTGCTGGTGCATAAGGAGAGGAACTGGGATAATCCTAGCCAGGGTTTACTGCTGCTTTTGTTTTCTTCTTTTGAATGGTAGAGCCAAGAAAAGCGGGATAATATGTACAAACTGCTTTCAAGGCTTAAATAAATTGGAGAAGACATACATGTATGATTACTCTAGATCCAGTTTTCAGCGGAATATTCACTGCTAGCCAGAATGCCTCTACTTTTCGTGAAGATACTCATTGATTATATACGTAGGGTGTTCAGTTACTGCCTACGAACAGCAGTGATTCGACGCAGTCCCTTTCACAATAATGTCTCTTCATCATTCTTTTCTTTTATAACAACTGAATACATTCATATATATATATCCGCTAATCTTTTTCTCCTCCTTTTCTCTTTAATAAATCCTGATTCGACTTCCACACATCAATGTATCCAAACAAGATCTCTTTCCAAAATCAAATCTCTCAAAGATTCCCACCTACTAGTAATTCCGACCCAAAACGAAACCAAACGAGCCATTCCTCTCCAACCAAAGCAAAATCAAGAAACCCCAGCAAAAAAAAAAAAAAATATGTGCTTCAAACTCATCGGCACCCTCGTCTGCAGATGCTGCGACCGAGCAATCTCCGAACAAGCCACAGGAGACATCATATTCTGCCAGCGCGGAAGCCCATGCGGACGATACGTATCCAAGAAAGTAGACGAGACAATCCTGGGTATATGCGCCGTGTGCGAGTCGAGCCAGCAAGAAAGACGATCAGCAGCTGCGCGGCTGAATAGGGCATTCCAGAAGCAATGAGATTTTTATTGTTTGTTTCTTTTTTCTTAGAAGATAGATGGCTAGCGACTTTGTGCTTTCTTTTTTTTTCCCATTCCACTCGACTCCCTTTTACTGTTTGTAAACACAGGCACATAGGATAAGAAATGACATTTACAAGTAAGATAGATATACTTGGACAGTTCAAAAAAGATGGTGAGGTAATGCTCAGAGCTAAAATATCACACTTACCCATTCAAAGATAAATAGCATAGACGCATATAATGCTACCCTTGTATTACCAGCAATACACGCGTCTTTGTTCCAGACTGGCAACTCCCTTTATTTTCAATTCTCAGATTCCCACCTTCGTCCAGCAAATTCTGCAGCCATTTCCCACCTTCGTCCAGCAAATTCTGCAGCCATTTTCCAGTATGCGCCTTAGGACATTACTTGCCGGAAACTGCAGACATCTACGCCACTCACATACACCGCATAAAATGAGAGAGAAATGATTGAAATTGTCTAGCCTAGTCAAGAACATCCCACTCACTATCTGCCAAATACTCTTCTCCATCGAGAGACCATGTGGCCCCAGTTGTGTGTAAGTTTCCAGTTAGTCCGAAAGTTATCAGATTCCTTACGCCAAGCCCTACAATTCCTCTCTCAAAAAAGTTTTTTTTCTTTGTTTTTTTTTTTTAAATAATATTTCATCCACGGGTTTTCATCTTCCTGTCGAGTGTTCTCAAACCTGTCAATAATCGTCCTAAGTCGTGCATAAGCACTCATTACCAGAGAAAGGACGTGAAAACTCGTCAAAGCGTGAGCTGACAAGATGCAAAACACTCGACCTTCCAACCAGCCTTCCAAAGTTATCACCCATCTTCCAACAAGGTCCTCAAAATACGTGTAGAAGGTTGACTTCCTCCAAAATCTCGTCATCAAGGTTCCGTTCGTCCAACGTGATGATTCGTCAAAAAGGTATCATAGCCGCCTCGTCGATGTACCTGACCTGATCGATCCTTTCAACTTTCAACAGAGAATCCCAACTGCTTTCCTCCGAAATGCAAGGAGCCAGCATCAAGATACCGAGAGAAAAAACCAGGTACGCCCGTGATGCATGCTTCTTCCGCCCCTTGCGTCTAACTAGCCAGCCAGCCCATAGCAGCAAGTTCTGTCCACCGCCTCTCCTTGAAAAATGGTATCCATCTCGCTCTCTCTTCTTAATTCCTAGGTCCCCAGTTCGTCCGATCTTTTATTCATTCGTCAACGCCATCAGCCATGCAAAGAACAAAAAGAGAAGAGAATTTTCCAGAGCCGATAGCGGAACGTATGAAGTCGACAAAAAGCGCTGCTCAAAGACAAAAGAAAAGCCGAAGACGATATAAACGAGGAGCTCATCGTTGAAGTACTAGTATAGCATCCTTCTTTTTTTTGTTCTCAAGCTCGTTTCGCGCGCTTTGTAGATGAGGTAAAGAAAAAGCTGAACCAGGGACCCCCAAGAATGTGGCTTGATCAGAGTTCATCCGCAATATAGTCCGGTTCGCCGTTCCGCTCGTGCGCCAATACTCGTGCGGATAATGTACAATCCAACAATTAAAACTGCCCCAAGTCCTACAGAAAAATGATGCTGAAATCAAAAGAAGGTAAAAAGAAAGAAAAGGTAAAAAGAAAATCATCATCAGACATCCACCTGCGCCTCCTTCAGAAAATAAGGGGCAAGATAGATTAGGATGTAGGGTCTCGTGGTGGCTGGCCACGGCCTCTGCCATTGCCACCGCTGCTACCACCTCGACCACGGTAACCGCGGCCACGTCCACCTCGACCACGTCCGCCATTAAATTGGGCATTGCCGTTGTGTTGGCCATTTTGACTCGGCCAGTTTCCTTGGGGCTGTTGGTGGTAAGCCGGTTGGCCTGACGCCGGAGCTAGAAGTGCCTGCTGCTGAGGAACCGCATTCTTAGGGAGGTTCGAAATGGGGCGAGGGATGGACTCGGGGTTTTCGTAGACGTAAAGGCTCTTATCGATGCTTGCGGGAATTGGTAGAATCTCAGTTCCAAGGTCCCTCTCAATATTGTAAAGGTTAAAGCGGTCGTCCCAATTGATCAAATTGATGGCCAGACCAAGGTGACCAAAACGACCAGATCGACCAATACGGTGCAAATAAGTTTCGGCGTTCTTGGGGAAGTCAAAGTTGATGACGACGTTTACAGCCTGGATATCAATACCTCGGGTGAGAAGGTCTGAGCAAACCAAGTTTCGACAAACGCCGTTACGAAAGTCGTGGAAGACTCGGTTTCGGGCATGCTGTTGCATTCTGGCGTGGCTGTAGAAGCACGAGTAGCCGAGTTCGGTGATTTTTTTGGCAAGCAGCTCGACTCGGTTGGTCGAGTTGCAGAAGATGATGGATTGGTTGATTTGCAGCTTTGAGAAGAGTGTGTTCAAGCAGTGAACCTTTTGCTTCTCTTCGACAAAGGCGTAGTACTGAGTAATGCCTCGCAGGGTGAGTTCGTCCATGAGGTTGATTTCGTAGGGGTTGGTCATATTTTTGTCGGAAAAGTCCTTGACCGAGAGGGGGAAAGTGGCGGAGAAAAGCATGACCTGTCGGTCCTTGGGATGGAATTGGAGCAGCTGCTCAATCACGGGAGTGAACTCAATGGAGAGAAGCTTATCAGCCTCGTCCATAATGAACATGGGGCACTCGCTGAGATCCGCGACATTCTTTCCTGCGAGATCTAGGATTCGACCAGGAGTACCGACCACAATATGAACGGGCTCCTGTAAGCGAATGATATCATCTCGTAGACCAGTACCACCAGTTGTGACCATGACATTGACACCGATGTGCTTGCCCAGATTCTTGCAGACTTGAGACGTTTGCATGGCCAGCTCGCGTGTGGGGACGAGGATAAGACATTGGATTTTTGAGATTTTGGTGTTGATGCGTTCCAGAGCGGGGATGACAAAAGCGGCGGTTTTTCCCGTACCATTTTTGGCTCGGGCTAGGACGTCACGGCCAGTTAATGCAACGGGGATGGCTTCCTCTTGGATAGGAGAAGGCTTCTCAAAGCCAGCTTCAAAGATTCCCATGAGCAGATCTCGCTTTAAAGCGAAGTTTTCAAACTCGAGACCTTTCGTTCTTGTGACATCCTATTGTCCGATAACAAGCAGCACTCATCATCAGCCATCAATCAAGCTATGGTGGGCTATCAGGCAGAAGAGAAGAACAAACCTCTGTTTGCAGTCTGGTATCCTTGGCGGGGATATTCAGGTTTTGTTTCCAGTCGTCACTTCGTGGGGAAGTGCCATCACTAATAGTGGCAGTCCGTTAGCAATGGATGAACGGATGAATCTCCTCCCTGCTCAAGGAGAAGCTACACTCTTTGGCTCTCTGAAAAAAAAAAAAAAGGAATGGAAAGCCATTCTAACCTCAACTGGGTGTTTTGCAACTGATCTGCTAGCTGGCTGGCCATTCTTGGCGGAGTCTGAACCTCGAGTTTTCGAGGTATAAAGTCTTTTTTTCAATTTTTTTCGGTTCGGATAGCGGGCGGTTCAACGGGCCCTGCAACTTCAAGGTTGCGAGATGGATGTGGTTGTTGTTTCGGTCTTGTGTTTGATGGTGTATAGTCGAAGAAGCGGATTAGTCGAACCTGTTCTTTGAAGAAAGGATACGACTTGGGTAGCAGCGGAGAGGGAGAGGAGGAGAGGGAAGCAGGCAATTCAGTGGTGAAGGAGCCCGGGTTGTTGAGTGTCGACAGTATCGCCGTTTGTCTAGTCGCTTGGGAATTATTGCGGCACAGAGGCCTATGATCGTGTGGAAATGGTATGAGATGGAAGAGAGAATTGAGAATTGGAAAGGATCCTGATAGATAAGAAGCAGATGAAGCAACTGAGTTGCAGAGCGGTCGTTTTAGTGTGAGTCACGTGATAGCGGGGCTCTCAGGTCCGGCCTCAGCCTCTCCTAAAATCGTCGCCTTGTTTGCCTCGCCGCTCTAGACGCATATATAGAGGCCCATGTCACATTGAGGTTCAATGTCATTTAGCTGTCTGACTACTGACTATCTCAGTGCCTGGTGTATATTCCAACAGAGCCATGGGCGACAAAAGAGGTTGGATTAAACTACAAGTGCAGACGAAAGATTACGGCAGTCGCATGCGATTGAAACATGCCCCTGGTTTATCTGACAAGTTAGGCTCTAAGCAGCTGCATCCTACCCCAGATAGTACAAGAGAGCAGGTACCTTCTCCGCTCAGAGGACGCCTCTCAGCCGGGAGAAGGGACATTCGTATCGATAATATGAGACATTGAAGCAATTGGTTGCATTATATAATCTCTTCACGTAAGTATTCTAGGGGCTTGGTTATGTTAGGTGCCTACCTATACACTAGCATCCATCTTGAGCATGGAAAGAGGAGCGAGAAGTCTCACAAGTTATCTATGAGACCTATCTAATATTGCGACCTAGTAATATTGATAGGTAGGAGGTATATACACAAAGCAGTTGGTAGTACGGAATGCATGTGTGTTACCGCCTTGCGACTTCTTGTTTTCCCTGCCTTTAGTAGACGATTATACGATGGTCGTGGTTTAGTACCTTGCGTACGCCGCTCAAGGCCCTTTTCATTCACTACCTAGTATACCATGGCCGGTGTTTTCTTTTCGGCCTGTGGACTCTCCCTTATTGCCTCACAATCATTTTTGTCTTCCTCGTCTACAGAAAGGAGCTTGTAACAGTCGATAGAAAAGGGACCGTTTACCGACAAAGTAAAGCGCTTGGACCGAGCCAGGCGCTTCTCAGTGCCTGTTTTCTCCCGCCTGGGCTCCTGCTCTGCTTTCTCAACAACGCATTCTTCCTGCACCAGCTACAAGGCTCATGTTCAAACCTCCTGGTTAGTGAAAATAACACCATTGTATTTGTTCTCGTTGCATGGCTCTTGCACTCCTCAAGTGGAAATAGGCAAACAGCAAACACAGATAACAGTAGACTTGAGCGCGTTGCATGGAATGACCAGAGCGGGCGCTGCCACACTGCCAAAGGGGAATTTAGCCATGTGCAGTGCCTCGGCATCTCCCAGGCTCCGCTACGGCTGCGGTTGCGGCTACGTCGGCGACTCAAAACCTCCATGACATCAGCAAGTCCGTTTTGTTTTAGAATGGCTGTTTTCACATGCTTCTAAACTAACAACCTGTCACGACTCAAAAAAGCAGTAGCACATGACAACGACGTCTTTCGCGTTTGGTACTAGTGTAGGAAGGCAAACAGAATGTGAATTGCCATTGCAAGCGCCGGGATAGGCCCAACGTGAATTGCGGAGCGCGCACGGGGGATTTTGTGGGGGAAAAGCTAACAAGTCCTGAGAGCAGCGCCCCGGACTGCTGGTTTTGGAGGGTACATGTAGAATTTCAGTGGCTTATAAGCTGAATCAAAGACACGCGCCGCAATTGGTTTTGGGGTGTCGGAGCATGTGATTGACATTTGCCGACGGGATTGTTAAATACCGTTTCTTGTCTGCAATTCAGCATCTTTCTCTTTCCTTTTCTTCTCTCCATATCTTTGTTCTTTACGTCTAATCTATTTTAAACAACCGTGTTTCGTCGTTTTCTTCTTTTCATAATTCCCACCATGACAAAGGTATTCACAGCTGCCGAGGTTGCCTCGCACAACAAGCCTGACAGCTTGTACATCACCGTCGACGGCGACGTCTATGATTTGACCAAGTTTCAAGAAGACCACCCTGGTGAGTTTCTCCCTTTCTTCCATAGAATATTAATGTCTATCAAATGCTAACAGCTTCCAGGCGGCAAGAAGATTCTACAGCGTGTTGCCGGCAAGGATGCCTCCAAGCAATTCTGGAAGTACCACAACGAGGGCATCCTGAAGAAGTACAAGGCCAAGCTCCAGGTCGGCGCCCTCGACACCAAGCCCAAGGACGAGCCCAAGCCCGAACCCACTCCCGCTCCTGCTCCCAAGGCTGTCGTCAAGGCCTCAAGTAGCAGCAGCAGCCACAGCGAGGAAGACTCAGAGCCTCTCGAGGCGTTCGGCGACCAGATCCCCTTCGCCGACCCCAGCTGGTACCAAAACTACCACTCGCCTTACTTCAACGAGACCCATGCCGCCCTGCGCGCCGAGCTGCGCCAATGGATTGAGACTGACATTGAGCCTCATGTGACCGAGTGGGATGAGGCGAAGCGTGTTCCCGAGGAGATTTACAAGGAGATGGGTCGCCGAGGTTACTTAGCCGGTCTGCTAGGCATCAAATACCCGACTGACTTCGTGCCCGCGGGCGTAAAGTCCGTGCCCCCCGAGAAGTGGGATCTCTTCCACGAGATGATTGTGACCGACGAGCTGTCCCGGACAGGCTCTGGCGGCTTCGTCTGGAACCTGATTGGAGGCTTCGGCATCGGCGGCCCGCCACTCTTCAAGTTTGGCTCCAAGGCCCTCAAGGAGCGCCTCGGCCCCGGCATCCTCAGCGGTGACAAGCGCATCTGTCTGGCCATCACCGAGCCCGATGCCGGCTCCGACGTGGCCAACCTCACCTGCGAGGCCAAGCTGAGCGAGGACGGCAAGCACTTTATCGTCAACGGCGAGAAGAAGTGGATCACCAACGGCATCTGGGCCGACTACTTCACCACCGCCGTGCGGACTGGTGGCCCGGGCATGAACGGTGTTTCTCTGCTGCTCATTGAGCGCGGCCCCGGCGTCTCGACTCGCCGTATGGACTGCCAGGGTGTCTGGTCTTCCGGCACCACTTACATCACCTTTGAGGATGTCAAGGTCCCTGTTGAGAACCTGCTCGGCAAGCAGAACCAGGGCTTCCGAGGTAAGTGCCTACACATACTGTGCTTCCAATGAGTTTGCTAACATAAACCTTTCAGTCATCATGACCAACTTCAACCACGAGCGCATGGGCATCATCATCCAGTCCCTGCGCTTCGCCCGCGTCTGCTACGAAGAGTCCGTCAAGTACGCCAACAAGCGCCGCACCTTTGGCAAGAAGCTCATTGAGCATCCCGTCATCCGCATGAAGCTCGCCCACATGGCCCGCCAGATCGAGGCCTCGTACAACTGGCTCGAGAACCTCATCTTCCAATGCGAAAAGATGGGCGAGACTGAAGCTATGCTCCGTCTCGGCGGGCCCATTGCCGGCCTCAAGGCTCAGGCCACCGTCACCTTTGAGTTCTGCGCCCGTGAGGCCAGTCAGATCTTTGGCGGTCTGTCCTACTCCCGTGGTGGCCAAGGCGCAAAGGTCGAGCGTCTGTACCGCGACGTTCGTGCCTATGCTATTCCCGGTGGCTCTGAAGAAATCATGCTGGATCTTAGCATGAGACAATCTTTGAGAGTTGCCAAGGCCATGGGTATGAAGCTGTAAAGGGAGAATAATGGAATTCGGATGACTTTTGGACATGGCTTTTGGAGTCGAGGCAAAAATGTTGGAATTGCCGTGTATATATGATTTGTACGACTACATCTCTCTGAGATATACTATTTGCTATTTGCAGGGTCTTTTAGTATGAATAGCTTCTGTTTACTATATCGCAAACAGAGCGACCTATAGATTGAATGAACCATAATATTCTTACAATATGCAATCACTCGCTACACTTTTAAATCAATGAATGCCGCGTTCAACGGAAACTCATTCGTGTACATTTTCATATACGCCACCAGCAAATAAGATGTGGCATAGTTTCACTCTTTCTAATCTCATTGAACGAATCTACCTCTGCAGATAGACTTTGGAAAAATACACAAATACTAGATAAGTAGGTATGACATAGAGCGTAATACCCTCTCATTGCACGCCAAAAACTCCGCAATACTGCTCTTGTAAAGACAAGCCCCCAAGCCCATGTAAATGCCCTATATCTTCAGGTTCCAGCGCCAATGCAGACATCCGATCCTCTCCGATATACCCAGGTATACTTGAAAGATGATCTGATGTCGAATCTTTTTTGTTCGTACTACTTTCCACCTCAGCTTAAAACGCTCTCTGGCAAAGATTACTTATGCTCCACCCCGGGGCTTTGCCTTGACCGCAGCCTTTTCCTTCTTCTCCAGCTTAAGCTTCTTCTTCTTCTCCTCATTCTTCTCATCCAGCTTGCGCTTATGCGCAGCTTTTTCCGCATCACTCTTCGGAACAGGTTTGAAGAACCCCTCTAGACGTGCCTGCTGAGAGCTCTTCAGGTTCTTCTCGAGCCGAGCGCCTGCGCTACGAACGCGATCCTCGGAGAATCCCTTTTCGGTGACGAGGAATGTGATCAACCCTTCCATGTCGGGCTTTTCCCACTTGAAATCGCAAAGGGGGTCGTCTGCTTGGCGCACATCCGGGTTGAAGAATAGTTCTCGGGCGTCCTTGTAAGGCCAGTCCTCTGGCAGCGTGTACTTCTTCTTGCTATCTTTTTCAATGGCCTCGACAACCTTTTCCAGAGAGCCATGCTCTCGGATCAGTTTCAGAGCCGTGGTGGGGCCAACCTTGGGGACCGGGTCGAGATAGTCACAGCCTAGCAGGATGCAGAGATCAACGAACTGAGAATTATCCAGTGTTAGCTGACAATTCACTGCGTATCTCGGTTGTATAATATCACCCTGAGTCACATACCTGCTTTCGCTCCATGTTCAACCCCTCCAGCACCTTGTCCAAGTGAATCTCCTGGATAGGCTCCTTTCTCTGCTCACTAAAAGTAAGGTGACGCAACAAGATTGGAGTATTGAAGCACAGAGTGTCCATGTCCTCACTCGCCGCAGCATACACCTTTCCAGCTCTTGCCAAGACTGCGCACTGGGCCTCAGCCTCTGTCGGTGCAATAATGTACGGAATGCCCATGAGCTTGAGCAAGCGCTGACACTCGGCATTGTGTTCTCTCGTAACTCGAACCGTTCGCCTAGAGAACTTCTCGACATCTTCCGCGGTACCTGTCTCCTTGGCCTCCTCAAGGCCCTCTGTAGCCTCTTGCTTGCGCTGAAATCGCTTCGCCAATTCGCCAGACTTGAGCTTCGGCGGTGCGCCGTCGAAAACGTAGAGGGGCTTGATTCCGTTGTCCACCATGCGCAGCGTGCGGTAGAACATACCCATCAGATGTGACGTTGTCTCGCCGCTCTCGTTCATGAGCTGCTGGCCGTCGGATCGCACAGCAATCAGGAAGCTGTATATACTCATGGAGGCGTCCTATCCAGATAGCTGATTAGCAACGGCAGCCCACCACGAAAATAGGAAGGACAAAAGCTGTGGCAACGCACAATAGCAACTTTGCGCCCAAACTGGTTCTTGATTTCGCCCTCTTTGATGGCATCTGGAGCCTCCTCCTTGACAATCTGGAATAGCTGCTTGATACCCATGGTTGCGACGGAGCTGTCTTCAGAAGCTAATTAACGGTGCCGTAATTCGTATTGAGGAGAGTAACACGAAGAGAAGAGAGAAAGAGGGAAAGAAAAGAGCTCGCTTGGTTCCACCAGCTGTCAATTAGCTCTAGAGCCTTCTTTCAGCAATCGTGCGGCTGCCTAATCTTCTTGAAGAAAATGGAGAAAAAAGAAGGACTATTTAATGGCAGACGATGGACACGCGCTGAAGGTGGTGGTGAATGACGCGCCGATTCGCGAATGAAATAGCGGCATGTTAAGTGGTTTCCACTTTTTTTCGAGATAGGCAGCCAGCGCGCAACAGCATCAAAAGCAACAGAGACGGTTGGAAGTAGCAGCATTTTATGATCAGATTGCCCCTATGTATTGTGAATTCGGTTTATTATCTTTAGAAAGTAGACACGTGTATATATATATATATATATTAGAATAACAAATTCACAATAAAGCCACGGTAGATATTCATTATATTCATCCATCAAAATGTCTCGACAGTCACCACCACCTGACCAAGGAAGCACGCCCCCCACCATCTTCAACAGCCAGCAGCCTTCAAGACGCAACTGTGAGCGGACGGCAGATAGCAGGGCGTCCCTCAGATCAGGAAAGCAAATGGTCATTTGTATAAATCCCTTCCTCTCCCTATCCCTTGTAGATGCCATCGAGTATAAGTGTTTGATCTACCGCTCGGAATACAGAGCAGTCAAGGATGAATCTCGCCTTGCGCTCCACCTTGCCGTGCGGAACACAAGCATCCTCGGGAATGAGGAGCTTGTTCAGTCACATGCATTCAAAAGGAAAAAAAAAAAAAATATGAAAAAAGCAAGAGGAGAATAGAACGAGGCATTTCACCATAGGAAAAATCGATGGGCTGGCTTCTTGGGCCGTCCCTAAATATCCTATTAGTTCGGGGTATCGTACACTGTGCCATCTCGGCACATTTCAAAGTTGTCATTCGACAATGCCGCTAGTATTCCTGTTCTCATCAGTCGCCTTGAAATGTCTAATTAGAATCAGTCTTCCTCAAAGAACACTTTCTTCCTCCCGCTGCCTCTATCATCCTCCATGTTATTTAATGCTTGATCAATCTCCATGATATCAAGCATTTCCGCTTCCACGTTCCGGGCAGTGAAATCAGATGTGACGTCTGCCGCTGCACTCAAAGTATCAGCAAATCCAAAGCCGGCGCGCGATCGAGTTATCGGAGTTGGCACGTCATCCGATCTATCAGTCGCTCCGTTTCCATTTCCGTTCCCGTTTCCTTCAAGCTCATCTCTGACAGCCTGCTTATGCCTAAGAGTTCCCGGTTTCACAGTACTCAAGTTGAATGACAAGCTTGCTGATCGGTCCTGCTTGCCGTGAACTATGATGGCTTCCGATTTCTCATTTCTTGAAAACAGGCGTTTCCTGCGGCTAGCAACGACGTCGCCAATCTTTCTTCCTCGGCCGTCTTCTCCTTCTCGCACAATGACTATTCTTGATTCTCCTCGGATGAGTACGTCAACGGGGAGACCACCATCGTCGGGACTATCGTCATCGTTATTGCAAGTATCCGGAATCAGACCAACTCCACAACATCTTTCTCCTAAAAGACCAGTGGTAAGATCAACCAGCTTGACCATTCTTGTGGGTTGAGCACCGCTGAATAGATTGACGCCGCCACCAGATCCTCTTCGTAGTTGTGAATCCCAGAATCTCAACACCCCTGGAATGACGCAGACATGTTCTAGCCCCCCTATCCACAGAGCTAAGCTCTCATCTTGGAGTGCTTTGCCAGGAGTTGAAGGAAGCCCAATGACCTTTATACCTCCACGAACTGCAAATAGGCGATCGAGGCTTGTGGCGGCATTCAATGACGTGGCGGCCTGTTTGCGGGTATGGGGCGTCATAGGTGCAAAGTCACCAGCGTGCTTGTCTTTCTGCTGCGTCGCAATGGTGCGTAGTGCGCCTGTTCCCTCAACATATCCCGAGACACTAAAGGCAGTCAAGGCAGCCCCCTGAACACCCGATTTCAGTTTACTCGATATAGCGGCTCCCGATTGCAGCGGTTTCGCGCCTTCAATGTCCCAGATACCCCACATGCCATCTGCTAATAAGGCGAAGACTGCCCGGCCATGAGCTATCCATGCGGCATCCAGTATTGGCTTGCGTGAGGAAGAGATTTTGGCAAATGGCTGGTATAATGAGAGCAGCCACGAGCCTTGAGCCGGGAAGGGTCCTCGGGCATCCAAGTCCGGGGGTAATGATGGCTGCGCAAAATCGTATATCCTTACAGCGTGAGGTGACGATACCGCAAGGAGCTGTGAAGCATTTGTGGGGTTGAATGAGATGCTAGTGAGTGGAGCAGGGAGAAACTCGCTTTGGAAGGGCTCAATTGGCCGTTGGGAAGACATCTTGTCTTCTAACGCGATGTCCCACAGATGCAGAACGCCAGATGCTTGTCTTGAGAAGGCGGCTACCACTGCCCTTGGCGCCTTGCTTGATGATTCGATAGATCTGGGGGCAATCAGAGTGATGGCTAGACCGTCGCTGTGTTTTGTCTGGCCACCAAGAAGCGTCAGAGATTCGCCCCAGGACCCAGATCCAGCTTGCCCAGCCAAGAGATCTGCTCTGAGTTCCGGTCGCGCCTTGCTTTGGGGAGAGGGCGGCGTCAAGGGCAAAGTGACAAGATAGGCATCGTTTGTGGCGCAGGACACCGCGAATACCATCTTTTCGGCCAAGATTGGCTCGCCGTTGGATGCCGCTTCAGCTGAAGAACATGGTACCAGAGGCATTACAGCAACTTTCAACACAGCCGTCCCGAAAGCTAGGTCCAATGTCTGAATAGTTTCGGGGTAGGGATTCCGTTCGATGGTGTCTTCGAACTCGGGCTTGTCGACATAGCTCTGGGCAGTCTGTGATTTCGCCGGCGGTTCGTCATCATCTGAATCAATAATCATGACAGAGTCTTCGGAAGCTCCATTTCTCTGCTCTTTATGATTTGTCGGTTGCTTCGAGGCCTCCTGGGAAGCTTTGAAACGTCGACCGCCTCGCCAGACCAAAGTTACGCCGTTGTCATGTCCATAGATTAATATGGTAGCTCCCTGAGGGGATTGGACGGGGTATGTCTGGACATCGTTGACTCGGCGTGACAAGTTGTATCTGTAATCTTGGCATTAGTCTCACACTGAGCGATGCTTTTATCGCAGACTCACGTAAACTGTGTATTCTGCGCCGTTCGACGTATTCTAGGCGTAACTGCAGGGCCCATTGCGAGACGATCCGATTATTGCCACACACCCTAAGGTGAGAGCAAGACTATAAGAAGCTCTGTTTGTCTTTTTTTTTTCGCGTCTGGGGGTCTTAATGCATCGTGTGCAGCTAATTTGCAACGTAGATAGTGCTTGGTGGTTTTCGATGGTGCTTTTGTATGGGAACTTTTCCTTAACGCGACATGCTAGCAGTAGAGAAGCTCTGGACATCTATATCACGTGATGCGCGCAGCCACCTTTCGACCTCTACCCTGAAAACTAAGCTTCGTATTCCATGGTAGACCTAATTATGCCTGGGTATGCTTGATAGAAGAAATGATGAGAAGTTTATATTATACTCATACTAATATCACCCAGCTTCAATTTCAAATAGGCGGTCATTAGTCTTGGCATTCCTTATCAATCGTGGCATGCTCTTCTTCACCATGTTATCTACCTACCCATTAGATTATAGATGTCAATTCGCATATAGAAAGAGTCAAGAATGAGAATAGACAAACCAAAAAAGAGTCAAAGGTGATATCATACTAAAACAACTGCTACTATCCATCGACCAGAAGAAACTGAACTTGACCATTATCCATGGAATACCATCAATAACAGTATTTCATCATACTGCTAGGCGTAGTCCATGAATACATCATCTACCAAAAGAGCATATTTGCACTCTCAAATAGTTTAAGTAGAGCGATTAATAGCGCCCACAATCTCAATGAATAATTTTTTTTGTTTTGACATGATGGTACTTGGTTACTATGCGCAATCCCTACCTACACACTCCCACCCAAGATCCATCGCCCACGTCCGAAAAAAAAAAAGAAACAAGGAAGTAAAAAACTCAGTTAGCAACCATATTTTATCTTCTAGCTCCTTCACACACAAACACACGTCCCTGGCCTTTATCTCTTTCATACATACACCCGAAGCATCGATAGCTCGGTTAATGCCTCTCTCTCCGCACGCCAACAAGTTTATACACAGGAGGTTCCTGGAAATGGGAATTGTTTTAAAAAAAAGAAACACGCTGGGCCAACAAAGCAAAGCGTGCTAATCGGGCAGCCTTGCGCCTCCCCTTTTCTTCATAAAAGTTGTGAAGACGAGGAGTTTCATGCCGCTGCGTTCCTCGCTCTCTAATCGCCAAAAAAAATTAAATTGTAAGAGTCAATCGGACACATAAGGAGTGGACGGCGTAGGGAAAGCCGGGTGTATGATGTTGAAGATGGCCAAACTCATTCATTTCCCTGTGTAGTAAAAATCTATCCCTACGCCTGAAATAAAGAAAAGAGAAAGAGAAAATGTCAAAACGCCGCTTGGCTATTGGGCCAAGAGGGGGGGTCAACCAAATGGACATGAGCTACCATCCCGATAACGCCGTAAATGCCCATGATTGAAGGAGAAATTGGTGAGGCCAAATAAAAGGCAAATTCGCTCGTCGTTAAGTGGATTTGTGGCTATTTGCTTATGCGTTGGTGACCTGGGAAAAATCGTTAGCTAATCAAAAATCTCAAGGTTTATAAGTGAGCCACTAGTGCGGGCAACCACAACATACCCGCAAGATACGACGAGAGTAGTCCTCATTGTCTGCAATACTGCCATCACTGAGCCTGCGATGGGCCATGACGGGGTCGAGGCGAGAGTCGGTCATGGAAATGCTACCACTGGTAGATGGCGGCTTGGAGCCGTTGATGAAGGCATTGACGGCGGCATTGCGGCGATGTTCCTCCTCAATTTCGGCATTCCGTCTGCGCCTCATGGTGAAAAAGGCAGCTCCCAAAAGACCTCCCAGGACGACAACACCAACAACGGTGCCCGCAGCAATACCAGCAACGTTGGTCTTCTTTCCTCCCGATGGAGCATCTGATGTAGTTGGCTCTGCAGATTGAGTAGCCGGGCTTGACGGATTGGCGGCGGCCGAAGATTTCTCGGCATCAGATGACGTCGAGCTGGTGGAAGAAGAAGAAGAAGAAGACGATGTCGTTGATGGAGGCGTATAGTTGGGAGGATCGATGTTGATACCAGTGTTCCATAGGCTGAAGAAACCTGGGTTTCCAAGAGTGCCGCAAGCCTCGTTACCAAAGCCAGGGCAAGCGTAAGTACATTTGGAGTCAGGAGCCACAGCATCCGCGGGAGGATAAAGCATTCCGCAAAAGCACTTGGCACCTTGCAGTCCCGTGACAGGAAACTGCTTGGATTTGCACAAAATGTTGCATGAGCCGGAAGAAACTTTTGTCGCGTCCACGCCGCTTGTTTCCGTCAAGTTTCCCTTGGAACTCCAGCAGCCCGCCGATCGATCGGCGCCTGGTACAGGCTGTTGTGATGGCACTTGGAGATTGGCTCGGACAACATGGCTAATCCCATCGGCTCTCACAGGGGTAGCGCCGAGAGCTGTGCAAAACTGAGAGGCGGCCACCAAGGCGCCGGAAAGGATTGTTGACGATTTCATATTGATAGAACGAGCGTGTGAAAGAGAAGAGAGATGTCAAAGTAAAATCAGGTCGGAAAAAAAAGAGCCTCAGAGTGGAGGCCACGGCTTGAATGTCGATTCGAAACAGGCAGAAGTAAATGATTAATATCAGGCTGGCTCCACCGGGGAGTTTGTCAAAGAATAAAGAAAGAGACGAGACTCTGGCAGGAGAAGAAGGCTGATGGGCTCTGGCGGCTGTACGCCTTTGTTTGGCGATGATGCGAGTTGGTCTTGTTTCTAATTCGACGGACCTGCTTTGGTCGGGGCAAAAAGTCGTATGACTTGGATTCGGCGGCGAGAGGCAGGACGAGAAACGAGAGGCTCGACAGACAGACGCCTTTTGCTGGTGGAAGATGGAATTTCTCAAGATATCAGAGCAAAGACCGACTGCATCTGATTTCTTTGACCCGATGGGCTTTGAGAAATGCTGTAGGGAGTCGGTTTCGTCGAAAGAAGGAGTGAACTGGAACGAGCGTCCTAGAGGCGTGACTTGTTTTGTTGAAAGGGAGAGGAGACGAGAAGGAGAAACGACAGATTTGGGGGGGCGGCCAAGGAAAGCAGGACGGCCTGGGGGGTGGGCGCCGGGTCGTGGCAGCAGAGTACGTACCGCCAGGTACTCATACACGGATCAGGGAGCTGGGATTAGGCCAGTTGGTGTGGTTAAGGGGAAATTAGTGCGCTGGCCCGCCCGGCTGGCGCTTTGGCTGCGTGCGAGTGCCTACTCCGGAAGCTACAAAATGCACGTACAGGACGCTGCAGGCCGCTGAGGTACCGGGGCTGGGGGGATACGACGCCGGTCTGGCGCTGTGATTCACCAGACAGGCATCAATCAATCGATAGCACTTGCTGGGCGCCAAACAGTATTGGCCTCAAATCCAATGTATCGCAGGCTGGCATCGTGGCAGATCTATTGATGGCTGGTGCTCAATGGGCTGCCCTTGGTGTTCTCGCCAGTCTCTCCGTCCCCTCTCTGTTGTCAATATTGACGCTGCTGCGCCAAAGCACATCGCGCACTCGCACGTCCTGCCACTAATGCAGGGAGAAAATATTGCCTGCAGGTACCGCCACAGCAATGCAGTGCCCGCGATCCGCCAAAGGGAAAAAAAACATCTCGTTCCTGGGCCTGGCGCGAAGCTCAGCAAAGCAGCTCCAGCCCCTGGCCAAGTGCAGTCTTGTGTCTCCCGCATCCTTGCCCGCTGCCGGCCAATCGCAGGCGCCATACTGGAATGCAGCGGGCCTATTGGGCTGCTCAGCGCGTCGGCACCCGCCAGCTAGGCCGCGAACAGGCTAGGCCTGCAAGGCCCGAACCTGTCACGGTGGCGCCCAAACAGCACGAAAAAACTTCAGGAACAGCTGTGCTAGAGGCTGGGGAAAAAGGGACGCGTGGAGCAGCGCAGCGCCAGAGGTAGCGCATACGGGGGCTGTGCCTCGGCCGCGTTAGTGCTGCAGCGCTGCGCGCGCGCGCAAACCCTAACGGCGTCCCTGGATCGAGCCTGGTATCGGCGTCGCGGGTACATTCAGAAGCTCCTGCAGACGGCGTCCGAGTGGCGTTCCGTCCTATTTCCCAACTCCACCTCAATCAAAAGCTCTTCCACACACACAATGCAACCGTTCCTTTCATCGGCATTCCAAGAATAACGACGCGGCCAGCACGAGCAGGTATATTTAGCTCACCTGCGCAACCTGCTGTGCCTGAGCCGGCAGACACGGCTGGCTGCCCGTCACCTGCATCCCGTATTTGTCCTGTTCGTGGCGATGCTGCAACATGTCGAGCCGCGAGACAAATTGAGGCAATAGCGGCCTGCTCTCGCGCTGGACCCGGCCTCTCCAACGGCCGCCCACCATCGACAGGGGTCGGACCAACTGGCTGATATTAAAGGCACAGAGTCGGCTGCTGATGCGTCGTCGTGCGACCTCCGAGGCCTTGTTCGTGTTGCGCCTAGCGAAAAAGGGAACTGGCAGAGGCCCATGGGCTCCATAATAATAGGAGAGCAGTGCGTTTCATGTCGTGGCTTTATCCAGTCAACGCACAACTCGCTATCGACACCGGCCGGTGCAAGCATAACTCGAGCTGCAGGCAATTGTGGGCCGCGAGTACCTGTACCAGGCCCTCTTGATTCATTCTCTTGCGGCCACGTCGAATTTGGCGCCTTGATGGTCGCAAAGCTGAGACAGCGCGACCCTCCTTCGTGCCAACTTGCGACAGCCTCGAGCTCCCTCTGCTTCATGTCCTTACGCATATCGTCCATCGCTGCCCGATTCGTCAATCCTGCTGCACATCACGGTAGCGAGGCGCAGATCGAGATGTTTCCTTGGCGGCCTGCTCTTGATTGGAGGTGGGAGCCTCAAATTCTTCTTCGGCGCCGAACACGTGTGTGTCTCCGCTACGATGGAGGAGTGCCGCCATCATCTCAGGGTCAATGCCGCCTTGTTCCCTGTTTTTTACAGGTGCTCGTCCTCTTCTCGAACTTGCGCCGAAAAGCCCTCTTCTGCCATGGACGAGGACGCACCGCTGCGGGTCCTCTATGTCTAGGTTAGCACGGCCACAAGGATGGCATTTTCAATGAAGCCACAATCTCACCTTCACCGCTTGCTGTTTTGCATATTGCATTGCTAGCACCGATACAACCAAGGAAGACTGCTATCCGTGTTTTCAAACGATGGTGACCAGCAGCGGATACCAAGACAAACCGGCTTTCCGAGCCTCGTTGTGCCTACGTGTACAACCAAATCCCGTATTGTAATACCTGCTTATGGTGTTTGCTCCGCATGTAAAACCCTTCGTCGCCCTTTTCATGTGCAGTAGGTATCACGACTTGCTGCGTGCACATGTATGTCCTTGCGTCTTCGCAACGCCGCTCATTTGCCTGCCTTATCATGTAATATACCTATGCATGGACCATCTTGTGTAGGATTTGCCAACTCGGCGCCCAAGCGATATCCCGATGCAACAACGGAGTACAGCTACCTGTACCCAAGGTGCCAAGGTAAAGCCGGAGCCCACAGGTGGCCAACAGCATTAGAAATCCTATTCAAAAAGAAGAAGAAGCCTTCCGAAGCCGAAGTTCCTGCTACTAGTGCCAATAACATCTACTGCTACTAGGTAGGTACTATTTTTCAGCCCATACATGGTTCCTCCGTGTTATAAGCTCCGGAGCTTCCGTGAATGGCGACAAGCATGAGGAGTCAAGAACTGGTCAATAGCCCAGGCGAACCCATGTGGTTTGAGTCTAGGTTACTCTCATCTCACATTGACCACGAGATCTGAACAAAGCGTGTAAAAGGGGAGCATTGCGTGCATATTGAGAGAGCCTGGTGGATTCTAAAAATAATCGCCCACTTTATTAAACATACCTGCTCCATAGAATCCAATGGATTCTGCGTAGGGCATTTGATGCGCGGTTTCCAAAGCCTCAGCTCAGACCTGAATAGAAAATATACAACGGGATCTGCAAACTATTGCGTCTGTGCTGAGCAGCATGCAGTATAATGAGCGATATTCCTAACCCAAGTTGAAAGTTTAGCTTGAAGTTGATGGCAAGTGCTTGATTCTTATATAGCCGTGTATTCAACACCTCGCCTCAGGTTTTTGTGGTCTGTAATGTATTGTGAGGTACGGCAGTTTTCTTCGAATCACATAAAGAAGCTGGTATATGATGTTATGACGATGCTAATTTGCCGTGACATTGAGATAGAGATATGCTTGAGATACTTTACCTGACAAGTCGATTGGTCCCTAGAATACCTTTCAGTTATGGATTGTGGTGATGCTCAAGATTCGCCGTATACGTAAGGCACTTGACAGGGTGTATGATCCAACGCTATCGCACTTTCGTGATATGCAAAATAACTCTTTACGTGATATGGGATGGATTTCACTAATGGCATGCTAAATGCTATGTTCATCTTAATGTAGGTAGATGCGGATGGGTGTGGACTACCACTATAAGGCATCAATCACACTCTCTTGTATTTCATATATTACTAAAGTGAGACTAACGCCTATCACTGAGATAGCATTGACACGAAATCTTCAAATAATCAATCGTCGTAGAATACTAAGCACGTCTTTACCAAAAGACTGGAGGCATGGGGTGGCCTGTATTGAGGAAAATATGCATGGTGGCGAGGTATGTTCTATCGCGCAGAGGACATTAAAATTTTCCATAGCTGGACAATGAAAGGAATTATAGTGGCACGTCGAGACTGGCAAATATGAGTGGGTATACTGGGAATAAACAGCTATCCAGAGCGAGATGGACATGGAGTGAATGCAATTGGAGGCAACCAACGTATTTATTCATCACTTTAGGTCAGAAACAATTACTCCTGGTGACATTGATATCTTCTTGTCGCTTCTTGCAGGAGTTGACCGCTCGTAAAGCTTCTTGCTATTGTAAACATCCATACCTCTTAAGCAATGTTAGGGTCACAAAGAGGGATATTGACCTTATCTAGCAATGCGTACCCAAAGTGCCTAAGCGAGCGAAATATTATTAAGGCAAATGTTTTATAGACAGCGTCGTGTCGTTGCATCAGTTCTTTCATATGGATATATATATTGTGAGAACACGACAGTCGTTACCACCGATACTACCTCCTCACTCATTCGCAAAATACGGAGCTCTTATATCCAAGCATGTATTTCTGCACTACATGTTACATCGCTTTCTGTGCATCTTTATTTGTAACCTGACAAGATAAATGTACGTTGTTACCAAACGTCCTCCCGAATATTAGCAAAGACTCAATCAGTTTTGGCCAGTCGACCTAGCCAAGACATGTGCTGTTTATATCAAATAATATCTTACGCTATACTTTCCACCACTGATTTGCGTAACTGGCAATGGGTCTCCTAGTCGTAATATCAGTCATCGACTTAGGAGATAGATACTCCTCAAAATAACAGAGTCACTCCGCGAAATCGCGCTACCTAGGTAATTGTAGAAGAACGATACATCATCAAATGTCTTACTTTCTTCTTCTTGTATTTCTTCTTCTCGCAATTTAACTTTGTCTTCCATGATAGGCACATCCTCTTTCTTTTACGCAGAATACAGTAGAACAAAATTTGGGTTGCATCGTATAGTTTACTAAGTTGAGCCTGCTCGGTACAATACCAACTAATCGTGTAAATCCGACGCTTTTGCATTGTTTTGGGAAAGATAGCGAACATTCCAAGGCTGGTAAACTGAAACCTGCACTCGTGTACTGACTCTATTCGTTCAAAGACTTGAAACTGCTGTCGCTCTACGGATTACAATCTGTCTTTACAATCTGTCTTTGAAGTATCAAGCGAGGGAGAGTCCAAACATATTCAAGGAAGAGAAAAAAGAGCAGTGTCAAAATGCTTTGGAGGTTTGGCTTTATGAATAGACAACATTTTACTGACTAGGGTGTTGCTGGACCTGGGATAGTTTGAAGTCATTTGTGAAGATGAAAACCAGTTTCGTGTGATGACCGTATAACTCGCCTATGTTGTTAGTAATTGCCTGCTTACAGACAAGTGGCTACACATAGAGACAGCGACGGCAAACATTACAAGATAGATTTTTCATTGGGGTTCTAATAAGTAGGCTAGTGAAATATCTTCAAAGTCCCCGTCAAATCAGCTCGGAGGTTCAAAAACTGAATGTAGGCATAGTCTCTGTAAAGAGCAACCGGGTAGGCAGAAATAAGGAGCGGGCTCCTTATATGGCGCAAATACAGTTAGATAGCCGTTAATACATGCATTCAGAGAGTTGCTACCCCATACCAGCTAAATCGATGGATAATCGATTGTAATAAATGTTACCCGGGACAGTCAATGATCCTGTCGCCAAGAGAGGTATGGGATGACGATGGTAATGGTTCACGTTGCTATTATTGGTTTCCAGCACCGGCTTGCCTCGGAACTGTGTCAGAGGCTGGGGTATCCCCGTTTCAGCTACTTGGACGCAGTAGCTGCGCCAAGCGACAAATGTTGTGGTAGAGCTGCGTATTAAGGTACCAGGTACTCACATGTGCGCTGTTCCATGTACAGTACCTCATACTCGGATTCCTCCCTTGTGTCTTGTTTGCTAGGGTGCCTGCGTTATGGACTCAAGTTTGTGCTCACTCTCGATTGGCGATCATGCGTACTATTTGGTACCCGATGATGATGTCGTTAAGATACCTTGATGTGGCTGTAATACGACATTGTAGCGGGTGCTCTATCCTCCCTCGAGGTTGAATACCTGATGGATTGCCTTCCTCCCATTCCGCATTTACTCAGCGGAGTAAAGTGGTAAGACCATAGTCCGGTACTTTGCAGCTCGAGCTCGTAGATAGTAGGCAACGGAGGACACAGGCTGTACCTACAGCCCAGGCAGACAAAGGCAACACTCGTAAACCCATTCTAGATGAGTCTTAACGTTCCTGATGCCGTAATACCAATCGGTACCTACTAATACTGCACGGCGATGTTACTGGCAATAATGTAGCCTGAGGCACGACAATGCCGTTTTGTTGATCTCCGTCGCCCCATCAGCCAGTTAGGCTCGGGCCTGAACAAGTTGGGGTAAAGTACCCAGGTACGCTATTGGAGGTAGCTCTGCTGTCTTTCTCGGCGGGAAAGAACCTCCGCAGCTGCTACGGCGGTACTCAAAAGGCCCCCTTGCAGGGCCGCCGTGCGTCATCAGCCCGTCAGCACAGGCACCAATAGGCGCGACAGCACGCAAACGGCGCGAGCACGAGGCCTAACCCCCCGTCCGCCCTGTTTGATTAGCCCAGGTCCAGTGACCTCTTGGTCTGTAGCAGCGGTAGCATCACCGCCAGCCACCGATGCTACACCAGAGGCCGACCAGTACTAAGCTGCCTGCCGCCTTCTTATCTAAGTTCCCACTACTGCTGCTGGCGCCACTACAAAGGTAGCTTCGTCATCCCTTCTCCTCTGGCAGTTCTTCCAATCCATCAACTCCTCATCCTTCATCCATCACCTCTCATCCCAAAAACACCCCATCATCAAGTCCCAAGTGTCGCCCAGTATGAAGAGCGCATTGATTGCCGCCGCGGCGCTTGTCGGCTCCGCCCAAGCCGGCGTCCACAAGATGAAGCTGCAAAAGGTTTCCCTGGAGCAGCAGCTGGTATGAATCCGCCCCAATCTGCCTCTGCACGGTCTCACGAGCACTAACGCTTCTCTCTTTCAACAGGAGGGCTCATCCATCGAGGCCCAAGTCCAGCAGCTCGGCCAGAAGTACATGGGCGTGCGCCCTACTAGCCGTGTCGATGTCATGTTCAACGACAACGTGCCCAAGGTCAAGGGCGGCCACCCAGTTCCCGTCACCAACTTCATGAATGCCCAATGTGAGTCGACGTGCAATGACACTACTTCAGCAAGCGAGTGTACCGCTTTACTAACTTGGATGGGATAGACTTCTCCGAGATCACCATCGGCTCTCCTCCCCAGACTTTCAAGGTCGTCCTTGACACGGGAAGCTCCAACCTCTGGGTTCCCTCGCAGTCCTGCAACAGCATTGCCTGCTTCCTGCACTCCACGTACGATTCGTCATCCTCGTCGTCGTACAAGAAGAATGGATCCGATTTCGAAATTCACTACGGATCGGGTAGCTTGACTGGATTCATCTCCAATGACGTTGTCACTATCGGCGACCTCAAGATCAAGGGCCAGGACTTTGCCGAGGCTACCAGCGAGCCCGGCCTTGCCTTTGCCTTTGGCCGCTTCGACGGCATTCTTGGCCTTGGCTACGATACCATCTCAGTCAACGGTATTGTTCCTCCCTTTTACCAGATGGTAAACCAGAAGCTTCTGGATGAGCCTGTTTTCGCCTTCTACCTCGGAAGCGGCGACGAAGGTTCTGTGGCTACCTTTGGTGGCGTTGATGAGTCCCACTACTCGGGCAAGATTGAGTACATTCCTCTCCGCCGCAAGGCTTATTGGGAGGTTGACCTCGACTCCATTGCCTTTGGCGATGAGGTCGCCGAGCTTGAGAACACTGGTGCCATCCTCGACACCGGTACCTCCCTGAACGTTCTCCCCTCTGGCATCGCCGAGCTGCTCAATGCTGAGATCGGCGCCAAGAAGGGCTACGGTGGCCAGTATACCATCGACTGTGCCAAGCGCGACTCCCTCCCTGACATTACCTTCAGCCTTGCTGGCTCCAAGTACAGCCTCCCTGCTTCTGACTACATCCTTGAGGTGTCTGGCAGCTGCATTTCTACCTTCCAGGGCATGGACTTCCCCGAGCCCGTGGGCCCCCTGGTCATCCTCGGCGATGCTTTCCTGCGCCGATACTACTCTGTCTATGACCTCGGCAAGGGAGCTGTTGGTCTTGCCAAGGCCAAATAAACGAATAATATAGTACACAGTGGAATGAAAGTGTTGCTAAGATGGGCACAGCTTATATGTTGTCAGAAGGCAGTTTTGGTTAATTGAGCGCCTTTGCCTATATAGTACTGCGAGGTGTACGGATCAAGATTGCAGCGCCGTTTATGTAATATAATGGAACACGGGTACTTGTTTTGCTGCTCTAATTTTCACTTGATATTCAGAAATTGATACTGTTTTCAATCTTTAGCATTGTTTTTGTGAATGGCTTGACGCGTAAACTTGAGGTGGCTTAGATGCTCGTTTGTGGCTGCTCTGTCTGTATTTATTTCTAGTACGTATTCCTTTTGGTGGCGTCTGGTGAGGGCAGATCATTTTGTCTATCCCCGGCCTATACTCAAACAAGATGGTTGATCCACGACTGTATCACTGTAAGAACTGGTATCAGTGATATTTTGTGCATTAGCATTGGCACCCTACCTTACCTTGGTAGGAGGCAGCTGAAAGTCAGCGTGGGATCCATTACATTTGGTACCTTGCATTATATGGGTGCTGAATCATCGCGGCCCTTCGTCATCAAGGGCGGTTCTAGCTCCTGCCAGGAGTAGTAGTCTGCGCTTCCAAGTTGGGCAAAGCACTGGCCGAAATAGTGCCATTTAGAACAAAGAAACTTTACAAGCCAAAACGGTTCCGCCTTTTAATACTGGATGCTGGAGGTACGCGGCTTGGATGGAGAATGTCTGATTGCAAGCTTTTTCATGTGGCTAATTGTGTGTGTATTATTGCTGAGTGTGAGATGCTATGTGGCTATTGTTCATTCAATCAAGGCCATTATGTGTGTTTTCAATATGTGAATGAATCAATATACTATAACAATGAGCAGCTGCATTACAATGACATCGATCTGAAGGTGCAAAGCGTTGAAGCTTAAGCACCCACTAGCACCAAGCACCGCTAACTGCCTCTAGGTGCCTGCCACCGCGGCTCTTTTAGCGGAGCCCACGGCGAGCCGGCAGCGCTGTCGCAGCATCGCAGAGCAGAAATCACGTGCGGGCAATTTTGACTTTTCCCGCGAGGGCCTTAGCGCAATCCTGGGCCCAGGGAAAGTACTTGGCGATCCAGGACACATTCTTCCCCAGCTGGCTCAACAACGGCATTCCATCCTGCAGCCGCCTGGAAATCTGCGGAAATTTTGCCATCATCGTCTCCGGCTGCTGCTCGAGGCGATTTGCAGGCGCGGCGTTTCATTGCACCCCGTCTGTTGGATGTAGACGCTCTGCCCGCGCGGCCTGGACGAAAAGGTTTTGGAGTCGCACCAAAAGTCAGCCCTTCTAGCCTCTACCGCGTATCGCGACGGGGCGCGGCCAGCACAGCACCTCGACGAACTGACAGAGGCATCGAGCCAACATGGCGCAGCCCACGCCCGAAGATGCTAATGGCGTCAAGATACCCGACGGCGATGCGGGCGAGAACGGCCATGTCGTTGCGGCGCCCGGCAAGCGAAAGCGCGACAGCGACAATGGCGACCGGCCCGAGGACGGCGGCGACGAGATGGATGTGGATAGCAAGGTCGAACAGCCCGACGACGACGATGACGATGACGACGACAGCAAGATGCCGGAGCCCGAGGAGGACACGACAAAGAGCAAAGAGGTTATCAAGGCCTTTGTCGAGGTGCTGCGGAGGTACGATTGCATTTGCCGGGAGCCGCGCTTGCGGTTCTTTTCTTCTTTTACTGTTTCCATTTCTCTCTCATTCCCTGTTCCGCTATCGTAGAATTTCGTCATATGAACCTCCCCATCCCCGTCTCCGTCCCCAGTGCACTTGAAAGAGCTAGAGAGCATGCAAGCTGACCATCAACACCAGTTTTGCCATTGGACCCTCAATCCTCGGCCGCCCTCTATCGACGCCGGAGCCGGAATCTGAAGATGAGCCCCATGCAAAGCGTCAGAAATCGGCCGAGCCGCCAACGAAGCTGAGCATCGCCGACAAAGTGGCTGCCGATTCATACACCTCCCTCAATGCCATCGCAGCAGACCTTGCTTCTGCCGTCAAAGCCTCGCTGTCTGAAATGGACCTCGGGTCTTCGGATTCTGGTGCAAGAGCTGTTAGCCTGAAAAGGGCCGCGCAGATCAACGAATTCCGAGACAGAGCCATGGATCTACTCCGCCGCGAAAAAGCGTATCCCAACACGCGACAAGAGTCTGCACACGAAGGAGTCGAGGTGCATACTGCATCCGAAAAGAGCGAAATGGTTTTGTCGCTAGTTGGCTATGCGCCTCAGGAACGGCGTTTGTTTTCTAGTTTACCGCTGTCCAAAGATGTCGATTTGTCTGACCTAAGCCTCCCGCCTGGCGTGTCCATCACCCGAGTCATCCCCTCCAATTCTCAAGACCGAACGCAAACTCTCGGCGAGCTATTTGCTCCCCCGCGTCCCCTTCCGCCTCTTCAGCCACCCAAACAGCCAAAGACACAAGCCAAGGGAAATCGCCTAGACTTTTACCATCCGCACTTGACCGACAGCTCCCGGTACCGGGGCAACTCCTACTTCAACACAAAATTGTCCACTGGTTATTACTTGGATTACAGCCAGGCGACGCCTTCATGGCAGACTAAGACAAAGCAGCATGAGCGTGCGCAAAGTCTTGCCGGCCGGAAGCCCTCGCTTTCCGAATTAGAAATGTCCGAAATGGAGACGCTCTTCCGAGGGGCCTTTTCCACGTTCGCGCCATGCAAAGATGATACTGCTGCAGTAGTGCCGTCTAGCGTTGCCGGCCGGATTTGGTGGCAGCGTAGTGGCAAGCAGAGCTTCCAGCGAATGATTGAAGTGGAATACTATGGCGACCTCCAAGATGCGGAACCCGTCGACCCCACGCGGCCAATAGAATTAGACGAAGGCGCAGTGCAAGAAGCCATTGAGAACTGGGACGAGACAGTTATCGATCCTTCATTAGACGACGTGATGGGATCCAAGCACGATGAGCAGGACAAGGAGGTCGATGAAATTCTCGAAGAGGTCAGCGACTTAATTGAGACGCTATCTTCTTACCAGCGCATCCGCAACCTGACGTTGCCCAATTCGCAAAATCGCCAGTCAAGCGACCCCGTCAATGGAGACATGCTGGCCAATGCTGGGCCCCAGCCCTCTGAAGAAGAACAGGCCACTTACCTGATGCTCAAGGCTCAATTGGCGCTCATCATCAAGACGCTGCCGCCGTACGCAGTGGCCAAGCTGAACGGCGACCAGCTTGATGACCTCCTAATTAGCACCAAGCTCATGGTTCGCACTGACCAGTATAACGGCACTATGGATGAGGATGAGGCGAGCGCTCAAGCTCGCCTCAAGGCGCAGCAGCAAGCGGCGGCACAAGCAGCGCAAGCTAATGCCAGACAGGCGCAGCGTACGCCCAGCGTTTCCGCCGTACCGTATCCTAATCAATATGCGGCGGCGGCGGCGGCAAACCAGTATGGCGCACCCGCTCGGCCTGCCCCTCAGCCTCAGCATCAGCAGTACTATCGTCCTACACCAGCTCCCAACTATCAACAGCCTCGCAATCTTGGCCCACCAGCTCCTCCTCAGCAAAGGCCTCCCCAACCAAATCAATACACTCGTACCAATGGCTATCCAAACCAGTATGCCACCCAGCTTGCTAAAGCCCAAACTCCATACGGCCATCAAAGCTTGCCGCAGCAATATGCAACCCAACAGAGGCCCAACTATGGGCAAATGCCGCAGCAAGGCGTTCCCAACACTCGCTATAACTTCCAACAGGGCTATCAGCACCAGCAGCACCAGCCGGGCACACCGCAGGCGCCTGCAAATTACGGGACGTACGCCAATAGCCCGGCAGCAATCCCGGCCAGGACCATGTCTCCCCAAGTAGGAGCCCGGCAGACATTTAGTCCATCGCCTGCTGTACCACAGAACCAGGGTTATTCAGCACCAGCTCCGACCATGGCAAGCCAGATGAACCGATTTCCTAGTGGGAGCCCCGGATTGACTGGATACCATACCGTCATCCCGGAAGCCCAGCAGCAGCGGATTTTAGACCAGGCCAAGGCTCGCGTCGCGGCCCAGGAGAGATCATCGGCAATGTTTGGGGATAGGCTGTCACAAACGAACACACCGAACTTGTCAGGTATGGGCCTGGGGGTCAATATCGATGCTAGTCGAATCGCGGCTATCCGAGCCAACATGGCGAACCAGAACAAACCACAGTCCCCCACCCCTTCAAAGCCTGGTGGCGTGAATGGGACGCCCGGAACGAGCCATGTACCTTACAAGGTGACTCCTGTCCCAGTCCCCGTCATCCCTACTCTGCAACGCAAGCCGACTTCATAGTTTAGGTAAACTCATAAAACGAATGTCGCGGGATTGGTAAGGGGTGGGTACGCTTTTGTGAGTAGCAACACTTTTACGGCGTTGTTGAAAAAGGGCGTTGAGAGGGCTTTAGGTTCGTATAAAGGAGTTTTCGGCACAAAAATTTAATCTGAGAGAATGATTATACGCTTTCAAAGACGATAATGCAAGGAATTGCCCTCAAATTTTTTTTTTTATAAAGGGCAGAGGCAATATGGGAGGGGTGTTGATATGGGAAGAAGGTTGACTATTTCCGATACCTTTTGTTTTGCTTGTTTCGGGATCTGGGAGGGTGGAGGAGACAGGAAAGTGTGAGATGCGTTTCATGAAAAGGCATGAACGTATGATGGAGGAACGTGGCAATGGGAGCCTTGGCGATGGCAGTATGGATCCATCACTTTCTACGCTTTACACCTTTTTTTCTTTTTGAAGTTTAGTGAAAGGATTGATATGATTGCATAGGAATAGGCTTGGGAAGCAAATTAACTAATGGTCGGAAGCACAAAACAAGCTTCTAGACAGAGCACTTTTATTATTCTTTTTCCTTATTTGCGGGAAACTGCTTTGTGAGAGCGTTTCAGAGGGGAAACAGTGAGACGACGAGGATAAAAACCTTAAAAGGGGCTGGGCAAGAACGAAGGTTTTTTCTTCTTCTTTCGGATGTGTGCATAGATTGCACACAAAAGCGGCAAAAGGGAAGGGAGTGGGAAGGGAGTGGGAAGGGAGTGGGAAAGGGGTATTGATTGGGATTCCGTTACTTGCTTGCCATTGTAGTGTATGAAGTACCGTTGGACAGATATCGTGGGTTCAATAGACGGCAGACACGAGGGCTCAACTTTCTCTCTTCTTTTTTTGGCCTTGATTTATTGTTAATGCAACAGCAGGCATGATGCCTGTGGTATGTGTTGAATATTTCTTTTCTCGAGCACTTTGTGTGGTTGGATCATTATGGGTTAAGGAAAAAGAGATTTCATCATGATTTTCTGTTTCCATTAATCTTTTTGGTTTTGTAATGTTAAATGGTGGAGATGCAACTAAATGTGCAGCATAAATGAACTATTTATACAGATCTGAGGGGTATCATGTCATATCGTTCCGTCTATTTCCCTTTTTAAAAAATTCTTCCCCCTTTTGAGTCGTCGTCATATCAAACGTCGTATAACATGATGGGCGAGTTTCGTATGTAGGTAGTAGTACAAGTAGAGTAGTAGTGGGTGAAAAAAAGGGGGGGAGTGGAGGAGAGTGATCTACGAGCGATCTACGCAGGCTATGTAATGCCAAAAAGTGAAGAGAAAAAAATGGCATGAGTGTGCAGTTACACCTCAGCATTTAGCTCCTTAGCAGCCTGCGCCTTCTCGCTGTACTCAATGACAATCCTCCTCAGCTCAAAGATGACCTCGACGAAAATGAGGACAATAATAATCCACTCTAGCCGAGTGCCGTGCTGCTCGCTAGACATTTCGCGTAAAACGGTCGCAATCTCCTGTGCGTAGTCCATCTTCTGGTTGAGTGCACGGATGCGCACGTTGACGTCGAGCGCGCGGCCGACCTGGTCGTAGTAGCCTTCCAGCCCCAGCTCGGACCGGCTGTCCCAGAAGATGTCCGGGAGGTTATCCGTCAGCTCCGAGTAGTGGTTGAGCTTGGCGCGGAGGCTGAGCAGCTCGCCTGTCTTTTGCAGGATGAATTTGCGGCTGAGTGGGACGCCGGCGCCCTGGGACAGCAGGGCTGGGATGTTCCGTGTGCTCTCAAAGTAGGACGTCAGGGCGGCTTCGAGGACGGCCAGCTTGGTGCTGCGGGCGAGGCCAGACGAAAAGGCAATCTTGGCCAGCGTTGTGTCGAGAAAGTCGCCCTCTTTGTGCTCCTTGCGGGTGCCTAGCACGACAATGTCGCCCTTCAGCGTGCTCGTCTCGCGGCCGTTATCGGTGGTGAACTCGAGATCCTCAACCTCTCGCAGCTTGTCAGGATGAGGCTCCTCCGCTGCCCGCAGAATCTGCTTGGTAACGACGTCGGGGGGCAGCGACCACGTCACAATTGTGCCGGAGGGGAATACGAAAATGTCCCCGCCGTTGACGCCCCTTGCGTGGACAACCTCTGCGGCGTCGAAGCTGGTGCCGTCGGGATCAATTGCGAAGCCATGCGACGACAGGATCTCCAGGACCATGGGCATGTTAAAGGCCTCAGCGATGCACGTCGCGCTGATCATGTTGGATGGATCGGCCTCTGCGGCGTCCACGCCCAGCTTGCCACTGCCATTGCCATGCTCGCTGCTGCCCCGCTTCGGCTGCTGGGCGATGATGGCGACTCGACGAAGGGAGTTTTTGGTCGGCGTGGATCGAGTCGGTTTTCGCTTTGCTACCGGCGAGGAGGCATTGGCGCTGCTGGCGGTGCCTGATTGCTGCTCGCCGCTGCGAGAAGAAGCCTCGTCGCCATCGCCGGGCTGTGACGATAGATATGGGTTTGACGTGAAGAAGTTGCGCTTCCGGGGTAGGCTGGCAGACGTGGTGAGATGAAACGAGCGGCGGGGACGAGGCACCGCAGCCACGATGCTGGCGCTGTGGATGTGCCGAGCGACGAGGTTGGCGGTGGTGCGCAGCGGAGGGCTCCTCATCATGGTGGAAGTCGGCGGCTCGCCATGAAAAGAGAGAGAAAGGACCGCTTCTTTGTCGTCAACTCTGAATGCTGCTTGCTTTGTCTGCAATGGATCTACAAAGATGAATCCATGCCGATAAGATCTGCTATCGCCATGTGACCCATCACATGCCCGGACCCACATGCCCGGACCCTTTGCCCGGGTTGCCAGGCTGTGCTTACAGCATTCTCTTATTCTTGCGAGCCACCTGCGCTACGCCCCATCCAGACACCGCCTGGCCGCCAATGACGAGCGCCGCGCCCCACCATCGCAGGCCAAAGTACCCGTGGCTGCCATTCTTATACCGCCACGCCGTATTTGGTGGTTAATTACAAGTTACGTTGCCAACCCCATCCAGCCAGGGATTCTCCTTCAACCTCCTCCAGGGCCTCCAGCGCGCGCTCCCCTTTTTATATAATTTGGCATCCGCTCTCTGGGCTTCCAGAACTCTTCTCTTTTTCCTCTCTTCTCTTCGCTATTCTCCCTAGCAGCTTTCTTTCGTCCTCCTAACCCCTCACACCAAAACATCCCCCACCATGGCGTCCATAGAGCTCAACGAGAAATATGACCACTATGACTACCCCATTGAGGGGCCCGAGCCTCTCGAGGGTCACAACGGAAACTTGAAGCCCGATCAGCAGGCCAAGATTCACCAGCTGCGTATGATGCTTGAGGCGGAGGGTGTCACCGAGCGCCTGGATTCACTGACTCTGGTATGAATCCCCAAGCTTTGATGGCGCTGAGTAGGGCTCCGACGATACAGTCGAGAGGAGACGGAGGACAGGAGAACAATCATGGGATAAGATAATATCTAACGTGCCATGACTATAGCTGCGATTCCTCCGAGCACGAAAGTTCGACGTTGAGCTTGCCAAGCAGATGTGAGTTCCTCCTGGCTCAATCCTGGGTCGTGAACCCCCCATTCTGACCGCTACAGGTTCCTCGACACCGAGAAGTGGCGCGCTGAGACCAAGCTTGACGAGATCCTTCCCACCTGGGACTACCCCGAGAAGCCTGAGATCTCCAAATACTACAAGCAGTTCTACCACAAGATTGACAACGTGAGACTATTCGCGCGCGCTTTCGTCTGTATGCAGAAACTGACGGCTTTGAACTAGGATGGACGCCCCGTTTACATCGAGACCCTCGGCGGCATCGACCTGACGGCCATGTACAAGATCTCGACTGCTGAGCGCATGCTGACCAACCTTGCTGTCGAGTACGAGCGCGTGGCTGACCCGCGTCTGCCTGCCTGCTCCCGCAAGGCTGGCCACCTCCTCGAGACGTGCTGCACCATCATGGATCTCAAGGGCGTCACCCTCACAAAGGTCCCCCAGGTCTACTCATACGTCAAGCAGGCGTCTGTCATTTCCCAGAACTACTACCCCGAGCGTCTGGGCAAGCTGTTCCTGATCAATGCCCCCTGGGGCTTCTCAACTGTCTGGGGTGTTGTCAAGGGCTGGTTGGACCCTGTCACCGTCAAGAAGATCAACATCCTCGGAAGCAGCTACCAGAGCGAGCTGAAGAAGCACATCCCCGCTGAGAACATCCCCAAGGAGTTTGGCGGTACCTGCGAATGTGCGGGTGGCTGCGAGAACAGCGATGCCGGCCCATGGCACGATCCTCAGTGGGCTAAGCCTGCCAAGTGGGAGAAGGCTGGTGCCACTGCCACCACCACTGCCCCTGCTCCCGTTGTTGCCGAGGAGGTCGTCGCTACTGATGCGGCACCTGCTGCGGCTTAAATGGGATACCTGTGATTTTTGTCTATGTTTTGGTATGGTGTATGGTGGGAAGAGGAATATCAGTACTATGAAGAAGGTCTTCTGGATGCTCATTTCTGTCTTGTTTTTTTCTTTTCAAACAAGACCTGTACGAGCAAAAGAAGTGGAAGAGCTCTTCAAAAAATTATTACATTGGGTTAAAGTGGGAAGCTGGATTAGGTATTTAGACTGGAGAGGGATGAGAGATACACAATGGACGGAGCAGAGAAAGCTAGCTTTTTTACATCGTTGACAGACTTTCGTATACACATGTCAGGGGTTTTTGATGTTTGCAACTGTTAGAAAAAGGCCGCTTTGCCTACGTTTTCTTCCGTGATGCTCTGTAAGAGATGAAAGAGCTATTGCTCGCCAAGGTCTGCTGCTACTGGGATAACATTGATACAATAGTGATATTCTAAAACTCTCCAACATATGCAATAAAAAAAAAATACTAGAGAAACCAAACAAACATGAAAGCCCAAAATGTAGATTGCAGTATTCCTCCGCAGTCGTAAACTTGATCGCCATTGCCCCCTTGACGCCTGAATGCCAACGAACAAAACAAGAACAGCCCCCCCTCCCCGGTAGAAATCCCACAATATTGGTCCGGGAGCTAAGCAAGAAAAAAATGCCCGAATCAAACACCAGAACCGTACCACATGGGGGCCAGCAACACCGCCGATACGAGGGTTTCCCCCAAAGGCACACCAAAAGAGCGCTGCTGCATCTGCATATGCGCCTCTTCGCTACAAGGGAAAAAAATGATCATCCAACATTAACACCGCCTGTTTGTCTTCTGTCCTTCATCACCGCCCTTTTGACACAACGTAATCGCCCGCCACTCTGGCCCTCTCCATCTTGGCCACCACGGCCGGCATGTCCCTCTTGAGCCGGTTCAGCCCCTGAACCGCGGTCTTGAAGCTCCCCTCGACGCTCTCCTGCCTCTGCAACCGCGCAGCCAGCGGTGGACCTTTTCTACTTTCAGTTGTTGTCGTCGTCGTCCCGGCCTCGCCAGCCTCAGCCTCTGCTGCTGCCGCCGCCGAAGCGTCCCTGGCGACCCGCTCGCGGAGATCCTCTTCGTCCTGCCGCATGGCCGTGCGGATGCGCTCGGCATGGTCGGCGGCTACTTTTGCGGGCACGGAGCGCTTGAGCGCGGCGACGTCCTCGAGCAGCTTCTCTTCTTGCGTGATGAGGTCGGCGACCTGGCGGCGCTTGCGGGCGTCAAAGGGCTCGTAGACGGTATTCGGCGCGGGGGCGGCGGTGCCGACGAAGGACTCGGGCGCGACGGGGAGGCCATTGATGGTGAGGTTGGGGGCGGCGAGGGAAAAGGTTTTGTTGATGTACTGTTTGTTGCTCACGGGTTAGCCATGTTGGACTGATGTCTCTTCTTTTGTCTAGAATAAAAAGGTCATTGTATTGTGTAAAAAGATCAAAGTATGGGTTTGTTTACCTCGTTTACGAGCAACTCAATCTGATTCCGCAGCTCATCCTCCCCTCCATCGCCCTCTACCGGCGGAAACGCTTCATTGAGGTGCTCGGTTGCGGCGTTGCGCACGTTTGTGATGAGGTAGGCGAGATCGTCGGGGCTTTGCAGCTCAATCTTGCGCTGGACCTGCGAGACGACGGATTCGGAATCCATAGAACGAATAGCGATTATGCGTTTTGATGTTGTTTCTTTTGTTTTTCCCTTTTGCGTATCGCTTGACTTCTGGTTCGGCGGTGATGGAGTGTGATTTTACTACGCGACCAGCGGGAGAGAGGGGAGCTTGTCGAAAGATTGCTTCTGATTGCGCTTTTGTCGAGATCGTTGCGACTTATATTAAAGGCGAAAAAAAGAAAATCATTGAGATGGAAGTGACCAGAGGAAGAAGAACTGAAGATCGATGTTGCGCAACTCAAAGACAGCACCAAAGAAGAAGAAAAGGCGTTATCGTCGCGGCGCAAAAACGCGTTGCTGTGTCGCGTTGGCGGGATGAATTGGAGCGAGCAATTGAATGGTCGAAAAAGAGAAAGGAAGCGCATTACGTCGGTGGTGCTAGTGCTCCGTTGGTAGTGCCATCTTTGGCGGGAGGTGGGGCATGGCATTGTATGCACTTTCAACTTTCATCCTGAACAGCTGACAAGTGCCAAAGACGCTGTTACTGATCCAAAGGGCTGTTGCCAAATAATTAATCTTGAAAGTATCGTGATAGTTTAATGCGTGGAAAACACAAATTGAGCTGCGTCTGTTTAGCATTTGCCGCAGGTGTCGCATAATAGTGGGTGGAAGCAGTGGCGTTCTTTCTTCTGCAGCAGCAACTTTTCGGGACGTGTGCTCTCAGTCGTACAGAGCAGATTGGCCAGACGTACTAGACTACTAAACGGGATTGGTACTGCTACATGCAAACAATTTCTAGTATTATATACATGCAGGGAGCTCCCAAGTCACCGCGGCCATCAAGGTGTTTAGCTCCCCCACCAAATCGACACCAACTTTCCCAAGTACACTGCCATTCTTGTACGCAGTGAATCAGATAATGTTAACTTCCTACATCAACAAGCGTTCAAGTGCGCTGATGAATATCTTTAACCTTCTGTGCTGTACCTTGGCATTTATGTTATCAAGACAGCGCATTCCTGTAAAAGACGGTACTTGATCAGTTATTCTATGCTCTCTTCAATTGGTCCAAGCAGGCAGACACACAGCTACTTCAGCCTAATTAAGCATTTCTCTCATTGCAACACCTGCCAACCTATAAATAGCCTCACATTCCAGCAAGCCTTTTAACCGCAGCAAATGTCTCAGCTGCTTCATCGCGAGGCACACTCAGGTAGCTTTTACTCCTCTTCGAATGACGAACGTAGCGTCGTGACGCACGGCTAAATAACCGATACACAGCACTGGATATTTCAAACAGGTTGCAACTATAGCCTCTGTTCAAAAATCAACCTCAAATTATTCCAGAGAGCCCAAGGCTCACCAAACTCGGAAAAAACCCTCCTTCTCAACTCATGCTACTGCTACCTAGGACTAATCACCTCAGCTCGGTGAGGACCCCTAAAACAGAAAGCTAGCTGGACTTCGGGGTCCCGCATTTCTGCACAGCATGTGCGCGTACCGCTGAGCTCTAAACCAAGTTCTAGCTACTTTGGACCCCCGTCAAAACCAATGGGCAGTCAGCTCCGAGCAGGCTAAAATGAGCAATATGTGGGGTAATAGTCCAAGACGAGCAAGTACTCTAAACCTTGGCAGTACAAGGAGGGAAGCTGTATTGGTGGCTCCCCATCCCCACAGCCGCATGCGGGGCAGCCCCAAACGCTTAAACCTGCTGGCCCAGATTGGGTATCACCATCCAAAGAAACGTGAGGGTATACCCCCTCGAGACAATTGTGCATAAAATACGGCATAAAATACATACCTACGTATACTAGGAGGGAGAAGCATGAAGAGTCAAGATGCACCGACATACCCCATTGCACGACGAGGCTCATTTGAACTGAGAATACCTATTCACACATGCGGCTCCCAGCTCTTTCGTTGTTGTAGGCAGTAAGCACAACAGGGCGCAATCCCAAGTGTTACAGGTCGGTGGTGATCGCCCAAATAGCCCTCAAGACAAACACCTTACACGACCTCCTGCGATGCACAAGAGACATGCAATAGGTTTATAAAAAGCTCATGAAAACAAAAGTAGAAATTGACCTATCTACCTACCTACCTACCTAACTAACTACCTGATAACTCAGTGCCTTGATTGCTAAGAAGAAAAAAGTCCAAAACTCAAAAAGGCTCCGTAACTGCCGATCCGGCGGGATGTTATTAGGAGCCAATAGCCTGTAAGATACCATACCAAACAAATACAACGAAGGACCAAATAAGTACAGCAAGACACCGCTCCCAAACTCAGATATAAACGCCAGGCAGCCCTACAAGGACCAGCATCAAAAAGAAGTAGAACCAGAGTGGTCACCCATACTCCACGCCAAGCCACCACAGCGGGAATCATCCTGCAAGGAATATACAACCCCCCAAAAAACCAAGAGGCCAAATGTTCAACAAGTCCCAAAGCCGTCAGACGCCGTCGGGTACCGACCGACACTGATGAATACAACAAAGCCAAGCAAGCATCTCGTGAGGGAGAAAAAAAAGGTATCTAGATAATTCAGAGTCCCAAAGGAACGAGAGAAAGAAAAAGAGTATGATGCGTGACAATAAAGGCAATGTTGTATGTCTTACTCAGGAAACATCTTTTTCATCTCCTCATCGGTGAGGTGGATCTCGTGTACGGGATCTCGTCTATTCTCCAAAGGGACGTAGTAGCAGTCGACGTAGGAGGGAAGGAAGATTTCTAGAAAAGGAAGCTGGGTTAGCCACCGGATTATCACTTCTCTCAAGTGCCCAAAGTGCAAGATGGAAGAAACATACCAGGATTCCACATGAAGCCCTGGCCCGAGGATAGATAAGAAATCTAACGCATGGTCAGCATGAGCGACGGCCGAAACGGCAAGGCCAGTGTAGGGGAGGGAGCAACGAACGAGTCGGGGAGGCCCATCTGGTGCTCCAATGTTAATAACGGTGCACTCTTGCTTGGAAAGGGCCGTGCCTGTACAACGTGGTCAGCAAACGGGTGGAACACAAGGGCGGACCACACGGCTTATTGGGCTGTGCCGACTGGCAGCTCCCTCACCGGCCATGGTCCGCGCCAGAAGGATCAAATCCAAAGGTTGGACGCACTCAGCAGACTGGGCCGACGACTGGCCAGTGCCGTGGCCTTTTCCTTGCCCTTGGGGGAGGCAGATGGGCTCGAGGACGACGGCGAGCTGGAGTAGGAGCAGTCTGACGAGCTGCCGGCCGCCTCCGAAGAGAGGCTATATCTGGCAGCCGGGATGTTGATTGACGAAGACATGCTTGGAGGCGAGGCAGAAGCTGTCCGGACCAGCCCGTGGCAGCGGCAGGGCAGAGTGAGGCGCTGGCCACGCAAGGATCGTGAATGACGCACAGAGGCGAGTCGGATCGAGAGACAGAGAGACGGAGCTGCGAGGCGGCACAAGGGCAGTAAATCAACAGCTGGGCAGGAGGGCTGGGGAAGACTATTCAAGGCTGATGCGGAGAGGTCTGCCGACAGCGGCCTGCGAAGAGCGTGAGAGAGCCGGCGAGCGTTGCGGGATGTGGTGCGAGGTGAGGCCAAAAGATGAAAGTGTGACGAACAGAGGTCCAAGTAGGCGAGATGAGCATGGACATGAGTTGCGAGACAGTCCGGCCTGGGTACGGAGTACCTCGCTCGCCTTGCCGTTGGCCAGCAGTACTCGGTACTTGATGCTGCTCCAGCGTATCGGCACTGGGCAGGAAACAGCTCAGAGGGTGGCTGCGTACCAGGTACGAGCACTAATGGCGTTTCTGCTCCCTGGTAGCGGCAACCTTGTATTGGCGATAAGTCGTCCGCTGAGGTGACTGGACGGGACGTGGCCCGGCATCTTCCTCTACTAAGGTACCTACACTACAGCAGCCAAGGTAGCAGCGGCACTGGCTACCTACGTGCAGCACATGCATGGCAGAGACGCCCAAAGGCAGACAGAGCACCGCAGTACATGCATGCATTGATCCTATCTGTGCCTCCATGGAGCAAACAGTCTTGGAGTTGCCAGGCAGCCAGCGCAAGTACCCCATACCTCGTGCGAAGCCGGAACGGCTCTCTAGCGGCCCCAGCACTCATCGTGGTGCGGCAGGTAACCAGTACCTCCGTACAGTGCCGTCACAGCGCCTGATTCAGATCCGGCTGGGTCTTTGACATCAATGGCCCATCACGCCAAACCCGTGATGCCCAGCGGGCGTCAAGGCGCTGGGCACTGGTACCTGCGCGGCATTAGCACTGGCCGTTGTTGCTGGCGCTGGGCCTTAGCAGCGGCAGGTAGCGGCGACCTCAGGCGGCCCAGCAGCGAACAAGGGTCCCGGACGGGGCTGGAGTCTCCATGGCGCCAGAAGCGCTGTGTCCAATCGGAGCAGGGGGACTGATCGCCCAAGGCTGGCTGGGCTGCCACGCCTGGGGGAGACTTTGGCCGTGGCCAGCTGTGCTGAAAGGGTGCATGTACTGAAAGGGTGCTGGGAAGTGTGCTGAAAGGGGCCCTGCTAGAGACCACTGAACGTCGTGAGACACCCTCCTCGAAGCTGATTTTAGGCATCAAATGCAAGCACTAAGATTCAAGGTTCCGCATCGGGCGGAGCACCAGGCCAGTCCCGGTGGCAGCCAATGCATCCCGGATTCGGCCTAGCTTGATTTCGGCCTGGTAGCAGCTACGGCATGTACCTTCCAATTGTACCTCCTACTCCACATTCTCCGTATCGCGATAACGTGCATATCACGTGCAGTGACTAAGCAGAGCCTAGGAAAGGCTGCGTCTTGGATTGACGCCTGGTTAGCGATAGCTTGGTTGCGTAACGAAGTAGCTGGCTGACGGTTATTGAAGTCTCCCAAGCTACCAACTCCAACGTTTCTCTCCGCATCGTTTTGACCTCGATTTCCTCCCAGATTCTGTATCTTCTACGGTAGCCTTGAACTAATTGCACAAATCACACTCGATACACGCAGCAACCATGGGAGACGTCGCTGTGGAAAGCCAGGCCACCACGGTGCCACCTCACAAGAAGGCCGCCCCTTCAGCGATTCCCAACATTGACGACTTCGAGGGCTTACCGACCGACGGCGAGGATGACTACGCGACCTTGAAGAAGCTTCAAAGACAGTTGGAGTAAGGTTCACCCCCTTGTCCCGGCGTTCCGCGCATTGCTTCTCCCCGCAGAAGATCGCCGCCGCAACGCTGTCTTGGATCACGGCTGCTAACCAGCATTTCAGATACATCCAGCTGCAAGAGGAATACATCAAAGATGAACAAAGGTTCGATTGATCTTCCAATCCACATTGATATAACACCATAGGAGCCCGAATCGCTAATCTGCTTCACTTTCATCGTTTAGGAGTCTGAAGCGAGAGCTAGTGCGAGCTCAAGAAGAGATCAAGCGGATTCAGAGTGTGCCCCTCGTCATTGGCCAGTTTATGGAGGCTATCGACCAAAAGTAAATGACCCTTTCCTCCCGTTGGCCTTTTTGCTACAGAAATCGTGCTTGTCTAACACTCTCACCCTAGTACCGGCATTGTCCAGTCAAGCACAGGCTCCAACTACGTCGTCCGCATTCTATCCACTCTCGACCGCGAATTGCTCAAGCCCTCCTCCTCAGTTGCGCTGCACAGACACTCCAATGCTCTCGTCGACATCCTGCCCCCGGAAGCCGACTCCTCTATTGCCATGCTTGGCGCCGATGAGAAGCCCGATGTGACATATGCCGATGTTGGTGGGTTGGACATGCAGAAGCAGGAGATCCGAGAGGCCGTCGAGCTGCCTCTGACGCACTTTGACCTTTACAAGCAAATCGGTATCGATCCTCCTCGTGGTGTTCTGCTATACGGCCCACCTGGTACCGGAAAGACCATGCTTGTCAAGGCTGTCGCCAACTCCACCACTGCCAGCTTCATCCGTGTTGTCGGCTCTGAATTTGTTCAGAAGTACCTGGGAGAGGGTCCCCGAATGGTTCGTGACGTCTTCCGCATGGCACGCGAGAACTCACCGGCCATCATCTTCATCGACGAAATCGATGCCATTGCCACAAAGCGATTCGACGCCCAGACCGGTGCCGATCGTGAAGTCCAGCGTATCCTGCTCGAGCTGCTCAACCAGATGGACGGTTTCGACCAGACCTCCAACGTCAAGGTCATCATGGCCACAAACCGTGCCGACACCTTGGATCCTGCTCTGCTGCGTCCCGGCCGTCTCGACCGAAAGATTGAATTCCCCTCTCTGCGAGATCGTCGCGAGCGCCGCCTCATCTTCTCCACCATTGCTGGCAAGATGAGCCTGGCCCCCGAGGTAGATTTGGACAGCTTGATTGTACGAAACGACCCGCTCTCCGGTGCCGTCATTGCCGCCATCATGCAGGAGGCCGGTCTCCGGGCCGTCCGCAAGAACCGATACAACATTATCCAGACCGATCTCGAAGATGCCTATTCGAGCCAGGTCAAGGGAACGAGCGACGATAACAAATTCGACTTTTACAAATAAACAAAAAACCACATTGTATCTACCTCACGGGCTGCCCATCAGACAATCAAAGAGCTTGGTTTTCTGATGACATAGGATGGATGGACTGGCGATGGAAAGTATCTGGGAAAGGAATGATGGAGGGGACAAGGGAGTTGAGCAAGTTGGTTGATTATAAGATGAAAGGGAAAAAGAAAAAAAGAAAGGATAGCTGTCGGTATCGTCTTCAATAAATGAAACCTAAGGCGTTGGAATCTATCTCGTCGTTTCTTGTCGACACGGTTATGACTATGTCTTTTCGTAACATCATCTCTCGCGTAGGTATGCAGGTAATGTAATTCCTAGCCTTCAATCATTCAAGCTCCGTCTGTCAATCACAAAGGTCGCTTTAGTGTTGTCTAGGAAAATCTTATCAAGTTGAGCCTATTTGCTATCTGCTATTAATCCATCAAAGACCGCCTATCGATCTTTGCTCTTCTTTTTCATCTACTTTTTACAATTTTGTAAATCCAAGCTGGTCCCTTTTTCCTATCCAATGGCTTCCATCTATGAGAAATGCGTGATTTTTTTTCGCCTTGCCCTGATCCTTTCCCTCGCTAATAAGAAGTGACAGATGGCCTGTTGGCCTGAAGAAGATGCGGTTGTATCATGGTCACCGCATTGCAAACAATAAGGGAATAATCAATGCAGGTTGGAAAAAAAAGACAATTAGAGAATGAGTTAAACCCCAGACGTTAAACCGTAATGGTCGAGCCGAGCTTGCTCGCATAGCCAATATCCGTTACGCCTTGCTTCGTGCAGACAAGAATAGACAAAACACCGGTGCTATGCTGACAATGAACACAGTATCAAGGGCATGGGACCATGCGCCGTGAGATAGTTTCGAGGATTATTGAGTACACACATCAAGTAGGCCCAATCATCCGTTTAATAATGTTTCGCAATGCCGTGCGGCGGGTATCAGTAGAAACGATTACAGAAAGTGAATAATACAATTTAAGGAAAACCTCGGTCGGATGAGGTGTGGAGAACAAGTGCTCGCAATTCCGTTATGAATTTAGGGACACACCAACCTCGAACAACAGCTGAACAAACTTCTTATGCAAACTGATGAAGAAGTCTGGCTGCCCAACGAGCTCGGCAAGTCCACGAGCTTTCAGCGCAGAAACGCCGCCAGGACCTCCCATGCGTCTGGTGAAGCCGCTTCCGCCTGTCAGAAAGCTGCTGCCGCTGCGGTCCACAATCGGGGCCTCGGAAGTGGATGATGATGCCACATGGCTGCTCGGCCCGCCGCTGTGCTTGACGCTGCCGATGGGAGACGACTCTGCAGTGCGCTCTGCCTCAGCCTCGGCGAGGGTTTGAATCCAAATAGCGAGCTCGCGAAAGGTAGATGAAATTCCCGTAAATGACTTCATGGCAAGTCTCTCTTTGTGAGTGCTGAGAGCCAGAAAGGCGTACACACGTTTATGCCCTCGAGCATGGACATCGGGTATTCGAAAAATGTAAGCTGTGGTATATCCAGTCGCGGAATCGCCAAAGAAGATGGCTCCGCCTGATGCAGCCGCCCCAGCGCTTTGGGTGGTTACAAAGGAGGGAGAGTTGTGATGCTGGGGAGAAGATGTTGGCGTTATAGTTGAGGGAGCTCGAGGCAGAGTTTCAAATGTCAGGGCTCGCAGACATGAAGCTCGAATTAGAGAAAAAGATTCGGCGAGGATTGGCTCATGTGTAGACGTATAATCTACATAGTGAATGTGACTGGGGTGGCGTTCCGAGGTCGTGGACGTGCTGGAACACGACGTTGTGCGAGAGCTCACAGTAGACACGTTTCTTCTACTGCGTGCCTGTCTTGGAAGGTCATGATCCGCATCAGTATCACTAGATGACTGCGAATTTGGCGGCGAGGCCACTGGGTCGAGAGGAAGAAAGACACGCTCAGCTGGCGCACGGGTACGCAAGGTTGGCGATCGCTCGTCAATGACATCTTCCGGGACTGCTGCGGCATTCTGCTGTCGGCGGGGCAACGTCATGGCACAGTTGTCGCAGGGGCCTTGTTTGCGGGTGACAGTTTCGTCATAAGTCCTACGGTAGCTTGAGTCTCGTCGTGGCTGCTGAGACAAGGGCCGTGGGCTCTCGGGAGGTGTATCGAGGCCTGTCATGGCAGTGCCATCTTTACCAGCGCCAGGGCCAGTGCCTGGAGATCGACGCAGGGCCGGGCGGTGGGATTGGGCATCGTGAGATATGCTCAAGTCTCGAATGCCATCGGCGAGTGTGGTAGACGTTGTTCGAGGCTGCGATTCTGATGCGGCTGGGGCTGAGCGCGGGGGCTTGTCGATGTTTACGGCTGGACCCTCATTACATGTGCTGCAAGCTGCCGCCAGACCTTCGGTGACCATCAAGGGCGTCGGCCCATGGATGTCACAATAATGAGCCAGACATAGCTGCAGATTAAGCGTCAGCAAGAGTGTCAGATCCATGATCCGCTCATAGGAATTTGTAGACCGAAGCGAGTGCATGGGCAACCAGATATTTAAAATTATGAGATGCAGTAGAAGGAATATAAAGTAATGGTGGGCCGACTTAGCCCAAGAGACATGTCCAGATGATGTTGAAATATAATAATCGGCTGTTGCCATGAAACCAGAGAGGCACAGCGAGATAAGAGGACTTGCACTTGTGCGGGCAGGAAGGGCGTCCCTTGACCCCTTGAAGTAGAAATAACAGCGACACTAGGAATGCTTGTGTGATATGAGCCTCGAGCAAGGGTGACGCAGCCCTTATTCTTGGCTCCCCTAGAGGCCAGGACACTCGTCCAATGGGACCAATCATTCAAGAACACACAGGATCCAGAAGGCAACTGGGTTCCCTAAGCTCAGGCCAGCAAGGCTGCAGACAGCATGGGTGATGCCAGTAAGAGAAAGCCATGTGGGTAGGTAGATGGGAGGACAAACTGATAGAAGCGGTGTACTTCCGAGTCTGCATGTAACGGACATCGTGTACCGCTTCTCTGTCGTCCAAGAGCAATCATAGTGACGGCAGCTTGAGGCGGCCATCAGCCCCCAACGCACGCTTCCAAGCTGCGGCTAGTACAAAAAAAGGCCAAAGCCAACCAAGCGGGCGAAGTTTATGTAGGTGAAGAGCCAGTGGATGGGACCAGACAGTCCGGGAAGAACAAGAAAAAGAAAGGCAAAATACGGGGACGGCTGCGTGGAGGTTGAATGTGGCGCCGTTCGATTGGAGAGCCATGTCGAAGATGAAATGCAGCTTTGCACGGTGAGTTGGGTTGCGCATATGCACATGCTGCAGGTTGGGCTAGGATTGCATGCAACATGCATGGGAGAGGAGTAAAAGCTTTGCATTGGGCCATTTTGAAAAGGCTAAGCAAAGCAGGGAAGCCAGAGAGGGAAGCGACAAGACAAGAGGCGGATGGAGACGCATGTGACGGACGAGACATTCTGACTGAGATATGAAGCGACTTACAATATATGTCATGGCGCACGTAGTTGAGCGGTACAGGGATGTCGAGTGGCCCAAAAAGAAACGAAAACGGGATGGAGTGGGAAACGTCGAAGGCTAGGCCGCGAGATGGATGGCCTATGGTCGTCGTGCAAGTATTCCAGACTCTATGCAGCAGCAATGTTGGTGACAGATGATAACCGTATTCGTGCGTGTGCAAGGAATGTGCCAACGACCTGCGCTTGAGCCCAACTGAAGCTTTTCTGCGGCAGAAGCGAGTCGAATGTTCGTCGTCGATAGCCCGATTTTTAAGCTCTTGGATGTTGCCGTATACGAGGGCTCGCAGCGTGCGTACTAGGAGGCCCTGGTCGGGATGATTAATGCCAACGGCGGATGGTGGTGCTTGGTAAGGCTGCAATGCAATCTGGTATCTAACAGGTCATAAAACAAGGCCGGCCGTCGATGTAAGTCGCACTCGCCACTCTGCGCGTCCAGGCGCAGCGCTGAGGTTTCGTCGCTCCCTTGGGGCTGTCTCACTTTTTTCTGAGACACTCTCGCGGGTACTTGATACAGAAAACCGACTTCTCCAACACACGTTCAAGGGCCCGTCTCGCGTAATGTGTGGGGTTGTGTGTGAAAAGTATCGAAAACGGTAATCTCGTGACCTGAAAAGAAGTAGACGGGAACGAAGAAGGAGAGAGAAGTGTCTTTCGAAGACGAGGAGAATCGATCTCGAGATGAAGAAATAAAGGTAAAAGCAACGAGATCAATTCCGCCGAACCCGACGAGGCCCAATGCGCTGTGAATTGTAATACCTAGTCTGGGACGACGAAGAGAAAAGAAAAAAAGAAAAGACGGAAATGGATGGGACGAAGTAGAAGAAGGAACAAAATAAGAGGTGTGACGGGATCCTTGTAAGCTTGGGGGAGCTCTTCAGGAGCAAATGGCAGGAAAAGAAAATGAGATGCCGGTGCCTTTCAATTGAAGGAGGCTCGCTCTCGCTATTTTGGTGCGTGCAGGGCCGGCAGTCTTGATTAAAGATGGGGGGGGTCTAGGCGCTTGCGGTGGGTACCACAAGCACAGGCACTAGACTAGAATAGAGCCATAAAACATGGAAGTAGGCCCAAGTCGCAGAGGCAAAAGGCTGCAGGCGGTACTTGACAGGTACTTGGGCGATTTGATTCGGCGACCTGTTTACTAGCAGTCTCTCTTTGCTCAGTATACTAAGACAGTCATTGTAAACGATGCTGCTACGGCTGGCAATGTGCAGCGTCTCTCGCACAGGTACAGACAGCAAGCATTACGAGAGTGCCTGTGCGAATAGATCAGAGTAATCGAATCGACCAGGCTTGACAAGAAGGCGCAGCTCGGCGCAATCGTTGGAGCGGCGACAGCCGGTCCTTGCTGCTGCAACTGGACACAGTATGTGGCTCTGATATGCCTGTCCCATGCCATGTATGCCATACACTGATTGACAAGCATCTGCTCCATAACACGGGCGACAGGCGGCATCTCATTCGACGTCCAGCGCCTCCGCAGCTCCATCCCATTCGCCTCTGCCCTGCGCAACGGCGATTTTGCCAGCTCTCGACGAGTAAATATTCTCTCACACAGGCACGATGCGGCACTGGCTGGCGTTTTAGTGCTCCAGCCACGAACACACGGTCGAGTAGGGAGCCGTGCCGGTTCCAAAAGGCGCTAGAGTCTGCGAATTAGTTTCGCTCAAACTCTCATCCGCCCTCTTGCCCAACTGGGGCAACTCCAGCCGTTGCATTGAACTCTCTTTAATGAACAGGGCAATCAACACTCCATACTGAAGGTAGTCTGCGGCGAGCCTGGCTGAGCAAAGAGTTTCGAAAGCCGCCGTGCATGAGCGAGCAATCATCCGGCCTGTTTGACCAGCAAGCGAAGGCACGGCAATGGATAAAGCTGCTGCTGCCAAGCAACCGGGGGCGTCCTTTCCGACAGGCACAGACAGCGCTTTAGGCAATGGGAAAACGAGAAGAGACCGGAGCAAAGGCATGGGACGCCTGCAAAAGAGAGCACGGCTCCGTCAAACTGCATCAACTCCGTGCGAGGCGAAACTGTGCCGCAGCATGCTTTATTTTGGGCCTGGCCTCTTCTCCCGAGGTCCCGGTCGCCGCTCCAAACGTTCCTCGCCAGTTTCCAGAAAGAAAAATAAGTGGAGGGCCAAAGGTTAGCCGCCGTTGGTCCAGCGAGGCCCTGCAACCGCCCCATGCACTGCGGAGTCGCGCTCGGAAGGCCGTGGCTTCTTTCGAGTCTAAAGACCGCATGAGGCCCCCCGTCGAGACATGTCAAAAACCAGGCACCGGGCCAGGGCAAGGCCCCAGACACCAGCCAGGTGGGCTGTGGTTCCATGGCCATGCCTGGCATAGTCTGCCTACACTGTAGTGGCATATTGCAGTCTCAAGCTCCCACGAATATTTCTAGCAATGTCAAGGCACATGCTTCCTCCCCCGATACTGTTTTTCCCGTCGTTTGAATCCGCACAAGCAAAGTCTTGTACTTGCTCGGTACTTGATTGGGCATGGCACCCGCACCTGGTGCGAGCACTAGCAGCGCAAGCAGTCGTAGCGCTTGTGCTACTTCTTGGTGCGTTGGGCGTTAAAGGCTCGATTCGACGCTTTGAGGTGTCGGCCATGCCCGAATCGTCGCCGGTTTCAAAAGGCACGGCTCCATCGCCCCCATCTTTCCCTCTTTTTTTCGGGGGCCGTTCTGTCCAAGCAAAAGAGCTAGGCCGCTAGCTGTCCAGGTAGTACGGAGTTACAAGTACGAGTGCTGGCTGTATTCGTATTGTTATTCGCCCTTTCCGACGATCAGCGCACCGGGCCCGCGCCCAGTCGGGTTTTGAATATTGAAAGCCGGGGCATCAAAAGAGGCTGGATAAAGAGAGACAACGAAGAGAAGAACAATGGCTGCCATGTCTCGCTGTCTTTTCCCGCAGGCAAGTGCCAGTAGGTACATGTTCTCCATAGAATTGCGAACCCGCGTCTTGTGATAGGTCGAAGCTCCTCTTCGCGCCAACTGTCACTGGATGGAGACGGCAGCTCCAAGTCATTCGCTCCTTCGGGAACAGAAACCCCGTACCTGCAGATCTAGCTAATCCGCACTCACTACGAGGCACTAAGCACGACTACTCGCTCCTTCTATTGCGCCTGCTCCCTCTTATGCCTGTGGTCGTACGATTGCTCCTGCCCGTGCTTATCCTGCGATATTACTTGTGGTACCTACAAGTATGACTGCAGTACTACCTATTTCAGCTTGCTCCTTCTTACTACCTAAGGTACTTGGCAGGAATATTACAGGTACTGCCTACCTTAGTAGTACAAGTAGGCCGCAGATCATACACAATATACCCGTTCTGTGCCCTCTGTCATACAGCTATTAGCATGTGTAAGTAGCTGCCTTGTTTGTATATAAGACAATGGTGTATCACTTGTAAAGTACGGCACCAAGTACAGCTCGCAACGTAATACGACAGACACGCAGCTACTTGGATGCAAGGCCTGGCATCAAATATCATTCAAGTGCTCTTGCAGCGTCTAGTGCCGTATAAAGCAAAGCCGGGTCCCCTGCTGCAGTTTCCGCTCCCTGTCGGTACTTTCGGAAACTTGGCGACGGCGATTTGCGCGCTCGCTTGCTGGCGCCTTGCACCCACTTACAGGCACAGGCACAGACACAGACATAGGCACAGGCACAGGGGCACTCGAACCAGCGTCACGACTCGGGTTCCTGGCTGCGACAAGGGCCACACAAGGGCTACAAGGGTTACAAGGGCTGCATATTCGTTTTCGTTCCCGTGTCGTCAACGATAATATTTGACAGCCTCTTTCAGGCCGAGCTAGGCTTGCCCGCTGCTGATGCTGGTCCGTATCGACACGTGGCGTCGGGATTGAGTGAATTCGACCATCACCGGCCG